TACGACAAGGTGAACACGAACAATCTCCGGCACGCACTCGCGCTGGGAACCAGGGACAGAAAAGAGAATCGACGGGTGCCGGGATCTAAGGAAGCTACAGTCCAACTGCCTGGCAACCTGCAAGCAGAATGCATGTAAGGCCGAGCTGCACAAATCGGGCTCTGCAGGGTGGAGTGCCACTAGGCCTGGTTCGAGCAGAATGAACAACGAAGACGAGCCCAGAATTCCGGAGGTACCTCGCAGATGGTACGCTACCTCTTCGTAGACGATGACGGGATTCTATACCCTGTGTCACCAGGACCCAAGGTTCGAGACCGTTGGAGCTGACGACCGGCGTGGTCGAAAATTGTGTGCGGCCTTGCTCTCGGTGGGCAGAAATAAGCACGATAACATAAGCTGATGGTGTGCCTAACTCCAGGAATCCCGAGCGTGACTCGTACGAATTTATGGAGTTGCGAAAGCGTCCCACCGAAGGAACGAGCCTTGCGTTGTCCGCCGTGAGGGAGACTATACAGCATCAAGCAGCACGTTGGACCACTGAGTGGTTCATGCTCGCAAGCTTTGACTGGATGCAAGGCGCTAGAAGGAATTTCAGGTTACCTGGCCGACATTGACACACTTGTGTCAGAGCCCGCGAGTCTATCCAGATGGTGAGAGAATTGCCCGAATGTTGCTCCTCCTCGAGCCCTTCCGGGTACCACTTGAAGGATGTTACAGCAAGGCTGCAATGGATGGTCCAGATGAGGTGGGAAGAGGCGACGAGATCGGCGGAGAGAAAGCTACCCCTGTCGACAGCTCAGGGACAAGGGCCAGGGGCCAGGGACCGAAGACCAGGGATCAGGGACCATGGCAAGGTCAGCAGGTGGGGAAGCATCTCGACCAGGCTTCCAGGACGGGACCGCCCAGAGGCTTTCCGTGGCGGAAGGTGTGGATAGATGGGCCGAAAAGCTGAGTGTAGCTCTCACCAGATCCATGGAGGACCATCATAGCCACTGCCCACGCTGGGATGACTCGCCCATGGATCGAGAGGTTGGTTGACACCGTCAGACTCAGCCATCCAACGAGACCTCGGAACGAGTGCGCGAAGACAATCCGGCCAACTGAAACTCTGGTTAGGGACAAGTCTCGGTCGTTGGTACGTTGCCTTGCTGGGTGTGCGTTGGCAGGTGGACCAAGCCCGGCATCATGGCAGAGCTGAGAATCCGTGATCCCACGATTCTGGCTCTGTTGTTTGTGGATCGAGGTCAATTTGCGCGAAGACAGTTGAGAAAGAAGCACGATACTTCTACGCGCCGGGTGCCACCCTTCCTGCGGCCGAGCCGACGTGGAAAACCTGGGGAAGCTGCAATGATGATCCATCACCGATCGAACCGGGCTGCCATTTATTGCAGTCTCACAAGAAAGACATAGCGCAGGCTCTCGTCGAATTGAGAGGCTTCCCTGTGCATCTGTGATACCGAGAAGCCTCGCGAGGAGCCGAGTTGGGTGGTGGGCTCCAAGGCCGTGTGGCACGGCACGACATGGGATGGCTGGGCCGATCAACAATAGTCTCGCCTAGTGCTCACCGTCCAAGTATGGAGGAGCTGGGGTTGCACGACGGTAAGCCGGCTCCTCTGCTTGCGAGAAGCGGATTGGCCGCCTTGCCAGGTCGCGCAGCGTGGGAGCTGGTCCGGACCTTTGGCACCGGACACGTGAGGAGGCGATCCGGGAGGTGGCAAGATACATCCCCAAGGTGTGCGGGTGCCTCTGCAGGCGAGCATTGCATAGATTACCCAACGCGAACGTCAAAAAGATGGGCTGACACGGGATGTTATGTAGGCTTGATGAGCGTGAGGGTGTACGGTAGTAGCACTTGAGCGTGCCCGCGGTGGTCGTGTTCCCTTGCAGGGCCCGTCCCTCCATCGTGTCTGCAGGTGCTTCCCCTCCCGGCAGCCTGGGCAATTGGCACAGAGTCGGTACCTCGGTAGGCACCGAATGAGCGGGCAGATGGATGCGGGTGGTGTCGTAAAATGCGACGAAGGACAAGAGGGGAGGGGGAGGGTGTGGGGTGGGAAGAAAAAAGTCAGGACATCGGGTGTCCAATATTGGATGCAGTTATATGCAGTTGGTAGGTGAAAGTGGACCGTTGGAGCTAGGATCGGTTAGATCCAATCGATAAGAGAGCTTAGTGCAAGCTCCCCCACTCCCCACCTTCCCAACTCACTATACCTAGGTACCCACTCCCCACCCTGCCAGTCCCACACCCGCCCGCCAGCCCGCCCAAGCCTCAAGCCTCGAGGTGTTCGGACGGAAGGTCGGTAAGATCCACACCCTCAACGGCGGGAGCCAACGACCTGGTCCCGGCGCGAGCGCGCTACACTACCTGCGCTAGGTAGGAACTGGAGTGCAGAGTACAGCACATCGTGCTTTGCTTGGACATTGGACAAGCCGGCCATTAGGCACTGTACGCGGCCCTGCAGCGGCCTTGCTTCTTTGCATCGTGCCAGACTTGCCAGTTCGTATTATAGCACGTAACAACTCAGTTGTGGAACATGACCGTACATGTGAGTTTGTACATGCATTCGAATCAATGTCTCCGGTCCAAACAAAGATTTGCAATGACAACAGACACCTCCGACCCAGCAACCCCGCCAGTCCGCTTTTCTGGCAGGTGGAGCTTGTGGGATTCCGCGCTAATGCAAAAGTCTGTGCAGCGTTACAAGTACCGTGGTATTTTTGTCCCGATTGTTTTCTGCCCTTCGCCCAACGCGGGCCAGTCGACTCAATGCCTCTTCGCAACGTAACAGCAGACTCACCTCTCTCGATCATCTCCGCTGGTCACACCACCCATTCTCCCCAGCCATGACCAATTCAAGTGGCGATTGTGTATTTCGTTTTCTAGCTCACAGCCCGGAAGCCTGGGCAGTAGTGGACTACTAGGTTCGTAGGACACCGTACCTAGGTAGTCTATTGACACTTTTTGCGCGGCGACCGTCCGTCCCTGCCAAGTTTTTCGGGTATCCTTCGTCTGCGGACACACCCTGCACAGTATCCACAGAAAGACGAATTACCCTGATGATGACTGTCTCTTCCATATCTTTGTCAGGGCACAGGGCCATAACATCGATATTTGCGGCTGACATATGATGATTCACTGTTCTGGTGCGCAGCCTCAAATCCATATTCCATCCTGTCTTGTTGGGACTGAGTCGGAGGATTGTGTGTTTCTCTTCTACACATGAGTCAGCTTACACGCTCGACAGGTTCAGCCTGCCGGGCTGCCAGCTTGTTGGGTACTAGCTTCCCAGAGCAGGTGGCTTACTTTTGGATAGCGCCCATCCAGTCGATCCTACGGGCACGCCTCCACGAGGGATGGTAGCTTGTCAGACCATACTCCGCCCGCTTCTCAAGATCTAGAAGCAACCTTCTCCGCGCTTACAATTACATAGCAGTTCATTCGAAATGTTGCTCCATGAGCCATCGCCAGCTCGAGACCAGGCAAAGCGCAAGCAGAATTCGGGCTGCCTCTAGTGGTGCCTCCTCTGTCACCCGACATGTCTTGGCTGTCGGCGACGGACGCAAGCGAGGTATTCAATTACGCCCAATAAACATCCCGCGGCATATTATTGCTTCACTCGGAGCCTTGCTCGATTGTCCACGAGCTTAACGACATGCTGTGTTGAGCTCTGAGCTCAGAACGGAATGTCCTGCGCCCTACCTGACGCTTGTCTTGCCGGGCAAAACATCGTGCATGCGAGCAAATCGTTCGATTCAGAGTCAAGATGGGCATCAGTAAAAGTTAGGCGATATTCCTGAGAGTAGAGCTCTTGGAGCGTCAAAGACAGGCCACCTGATATGACCTGAGCAGGAAGGCGACGAGAGGGGTTGACAGACCGCGGCACCCTTCACCGGCCTCACTGGCAGGGATCGTGCACGGGCTGGCCGGGCGGAGAAGGGAATGTCCCTGCACCAGTCTTCAGCCGCAGAGCCCTTCCGTCTTCCTCGACATATTCGCACTAATGCTGTGCTCCCAATGCCCCTGTGCGGCGCAGCACCAACCGCGAAGGACTTCGGCCATCCAACCCACAAAGAGCGTGCAACCTCGCTGTTCGTCTGCTCCACAAGACACCCAATCAGCGAGACATGTCTTTCTCGCGCATGCAGGATGCAGAACCCCCCCTCCGTCCCCCAAGGCTAACTGATCCGCCTTCGCCACCTTGGGCGAGTGTGGAGGCTCAGTCCGGACCATGGCACCCTTCCGCTTACGGTCCATTGTGGGAAGATGAGTGAGCCTGGTGCGCCAAAAGAGGGGCCCCAGGCTTGGTCCATAGGTCTATCGAGTTGCTGTTCGGGCGGCGTGTGTATCAGTGAAGCAGCCCGCCCTGCCAGCCGTGAGCCCTGTGAGGCAACTCAGAAACTCGAATACGGTTCGGAATCCATATCCTGGTCGATATACCATACTCCTCTTTTACATTTGTGAGTTTGACTCTGTCTAGAGACTCTACGTCCTCCCTCGGGCTTGCATCCTGTCCTGGTCCGAGTAGTTTGGGTAAGCCGGGTCCCGCCTTTTCGCTTGCATCATTCCACCTTTCTGGTTCCAAGATCTTGATCCCTTCTCGAGACAAAGACTGGATCCGGGTCTCTTCCAGATGCGGTTTCTCGTCGGTTCCGTGCAGTCCGTCTGTGGCTGCGTGCCTCGTCTTGCTTTGTGTATCTAACGTCAACAACAGCACTTGGCGGCTTCCAGTTCCGCATTCCAGCAGCCCACGAGGCAACGGATTCGTCTTTGTTCAGCTTTGAGGACATGGTCAACTTGTGATCCTCCCAGCACAGCATTCGTCCTGCGATGATGTGTACCTAGAAGCATTTTTCAAGCAGACATTACGTTTTCCTGTTCTTGCCGCTCAGAGATCCGTGTAGAAGTCTGAAGACCGGCTGGTCTACGTTCTCTTTTGGCGTTCAGCACATCGGGTCTAATGATGCGGTCACTTCCAATAGCTGCGGGCCTTGTGTCCGTAGCGATGGCCCAACAGTCTGGATGGCAGAGCGATCAGGTCAATGCGACCATGTGCATGTGGCAACAACCAAGAGGTTTGCACAGCCATCACTCGAGAGGAGCCATAAACTAACAATTGCAGCTGCTGTCCTCAAGGATACGGTCTACATCGATGGCGGGTACCTGGCCTGGATTCCAGGCATGGCTGATGGCTCCTACGGTTCGGCAACCCAAGATGGTAGGTCGACGTCTGGTCATTTGTTGTGTATGCGTTCTCCTAACGGGATCAACAGACAACCCGCTGGGTATCGTCTATACTTTGAACTTCAGTAGGCCCTTCAACATGAGCCAAAACATCAGCGATGTCTTCGGCCAGAATCCCAAGGTCGTAGGTGCTGCGAGCAATCTCGCCCCAAACTATTTCGACGGAGCACTGCTCGCGAATGATCACCAGTTCTTCATGTATGGCGGCCTGCTGAGGCAAACTGACAAATATCCCGACCCGGACGCGAACGAGGTCATGGAATATCAGCAAGATAGCTATGGCGTCGACAAGAAAGTCACACCAGGTTACATCAGCACTGATCTGCCTGACGATCTAACCAGATATCTCGCCTTTGGGGGTGCTGCCAACGCCCCCTCAGAGAACAAGGCATTCTACTTCTCCGGGCTTCGTGCCCCCGAATGGGGTCCCGTATATTATCCTAGCTACAACGACTCGCTGACAGCCATCAACGTCTCCAACACCTTGATCACACTCGACATGGCTACGCAAAATGAGGAGCAATGGAGCAACCAGACCTTGCCCGACAGCATCCCGGGGCGCGCGAATCCAGAACTCGTTTGGGTCCCAGTCGGTGCACAAGGGATTCTGGTTGCCATTGGCGGTGTAATCTACCCTGAATTTGTCAGTTCTGCACACTTCTCGGAAAACCAGACTGGTAGTGTAAGGACAATCCACCCCACTGGGCATTGGTTGATGCCATACTGATACTGGCGCAGGAGAATGTAAGCCCTTCGTTCATGTCCAATATCGACATATACGACATCGCAAGCGGAAATTGGTACACACAGCCCACGGTTGGCGGGCCTTCGCAGCTTGCCAGAGGCTGTGTTGTCATGCAACCAGCTCAAGATTACTCAAGTTTCAACATTTACTACTACGGTGGCTATGACGGGCTTCATCATACCGATGCGTCGGACTTCAAGGACGACGTCTGGATCCTGTCACTGCCTTCCTTCATGTGGATGAAGGTCGCTTCCGGACGGGCTGGGTACGGGCGCGCAGGCCACAAATGCTTCATGCCGTACCCGGATCAGATGATGGTGATTGGAGGCTATCCAGCGCAGGCCGGCACGACCACAACTTGCGTCAATGGTGGCATCATCCAGTTGTTTAACCTGAGCTCGTCCAAGTGGATAGACAGGTACGACCCAAGCCTCTGGTCTGACTACCACGTCCCGGAAATGATCTATGCAATGATCGGCGGCGACGAGAAAGGCGGCGCGACCGAGATCACACCTGGACCCACGGGCTGGGCTACTTCGGCGCTGGCAAGCGTCTTCGCATCGTCATATCCTACCTCGAAGCTCACGACTTACTATCCGTACGCCCCAGCTGCCACGAGCGGGTCAGGTCTGCCGACTTCCAGCGCCGAGTCTGGTGGCGGTGGCGTCCCAGGCTTTCTGCCCCCGCTTCTTGGTGTCATCCTAGGTCTGATTTTACTCACATCTGTCGGCCTGGGCTTCTTGTTCTGGCGGCGCCGCAAGTACCTGAAGAAGAACGGTGGCATGAGCGAGATGACCGACGAGAATGGCCACCGCATCATGTCCTGGATCCGCGGCCAACCAACAGACACAAAGGCACCCACGGTCACTACCAGCGATGACATGCCTCAGAGCCCAGACCCAGAGCGCGCTGCGTTGTACGCCCCTCATCCGCACCAGCAGCAGCTGCAACAGCAGCTCATGCGCCATGAGATGGGCGACACTCAAGTCGCCGAGCTAATGGGTACGCCACTCCTCCCGTCGAGTCTGAGCCCGCGCCGGGATATTTGGTACTAATTGCTTGCAGACACCTCGCCCCGTGCGGAACTGTCAGACACGGCCCTGACGCCCGTGGACATCATCAGCAAACACACGCACTTCGGCTCAGCCGGCGGTGGGAGCAGCCCGCTGGGCAACCCGTCGTTCCAATACTCGTCCATAGCCGCGACAGACCACGCAAGCATGGTAAGCAGCAACTCCGCCGCAGGAGGTGCCATGCTTGCAGGGCCCTCCTCGAGGAACCCTCCCCCAGCACAGCCCTTCAACCCCGAGCAGCAGGTGCGCCCGGACTCACCTGCACTGCCAGCCACCTCCCCCTATGACAGTGACCACACCCCCACCGCCGGGAAGCCCCTCCCAGCCCCCACCTCAAGCGGCAACAACGCCGCCGCGTCGGGGGATCAGGAGTCTCCGCGGGGCGAATCGGGGGTATCGGCGTTTAGCGAGCGGGACCGATCCCACCTGAGGAACATCAGCGACCCGGCGACGGTCAGCACGATGGACGGCACGCTCGTCGGCTCGCCGCGCCTGGGGCCGCAGCAGACGTCCCGCGTCGCGAGCCCGCCGATCATGGAGGAGGGCTCGCTCAACCCGCTCCGCAGCAACCCGGCGCCGGGCACGCCGCCGGCGGTGATCAGCCCGCCGACGGCCGGCGAGGTCGACGCGGAGGACTACGTCAGCGCGAGGAGCGGCAGCGGGCCCGTGAGCCCGCTGAACCCCCCGCCCGGGCCCCAGGTTCCTCGGTCGAGTAATAGTCCGGCGCCCAGTAGGAAATCCATCTTCCGGGAGTCGATGGAGGACATGGGAGGGTCGCACTGAGGAGACTTACACAGCGACTACTGTGTGAGGGGGATGATTGATGATGAATAGATGCATGGAGTTCCTGTGGGTCAAATTTGTTTTCTAGGTTCTCTTTTTGCTGTAAATAGTAAGCTCGTGGGCCTCCACGTCCAGTGCCGTTGCACTAGTGATTAAAAAAGGAGTATCGAGGCCGCACAGGGAGGGACACAGTGTTCGATGGGGCTTTCTTTTCCCCAGGCTTACCCTGTGTTGTTGAGACGTGCTCGGAGGACACCATCATTGAGCACAAAAAGCTACCTCCGGATGATCTTTTAATAATACCATCATTAGACCGTAATCATCCATTCCCCTTCTATTCCTTCACTGTCACTCTACTATGGGCCCTCTTGCGACTATAATGCCTGAAGTCACTTCTGGCTTCTCGGAGGCAGTGAGATGATCCGACTCTCTGATACTGTGTGGTGTCACACATACCACACCTACCCGCACTCCCATACATCACGTTCTCGCTGTGACCTCTCACGCCGCCAAGAGCCCCGTGTACCACAGCACGACACGTCTTGAGTGATCCATCACTAGTTCCCACGTGAGACCCAGCGCTACGAACGTGATCAGCACCACCGTGTCTCACTACCTCGTTCCCGCGAACTGTGTCCCTGTCGCTTGTGCAAGAGGCAACAAGGAGAATCAACCTAGGAGCACGCCAATAAGTGTGCGCGAGGTAGGTCAGATATGTGGACAGAGTCGGTGGCATCTTGGCAGGGCATCCAGCCTACTCGAGTGATCTGTGCAGAGAGTTCTTAATAGCGGTATCTGAATTAAACTAGCTTTACATCTCGTGGTGTAACAATCTAGGGAAGTGTTCCATCTTTCTATGCTGCGGACTGTCCTCGCACAGCGCACGCTGCCTTCTCAGCGTGTCTAGGTCTTTGGTCGACCCTGGCTCGCCGGCCTCGACCACCAGAAGCAGACACTCCTAACCCCCTGGGTGTCTTCTCTAAATCTCTCAAGTCCTAACGCCTAGCCAATGCAAACTTGCGGAGGACTCTTCCACCCCCAACCCTCCCTTCATATATACGTCGTCGCCTTGAAAATCCGGCCATGGCCGAATTGTGTCTACTACACAGACAGACCTTGGGATCTTCTCCTTCTGTTGTAGTCCCTCGTCTCTTCCAGCTCCTTCACGATGTACTTGTTGAACTCATCCGGGTTGTCCAAGTACAAGTGATGGCCAGCCTTCCGCACGACGACCACTCTTGCGCTTCCATTCTCGTTTTTCCTCTCCTCCTCTGTGCCTTCCATCAGCGCCTTCTCAATCCGTGCCTTTATCTTCTCCTCCGCAGCGAAGCCGCCTCCGACGTCCATCCAGTCCCCGTCTCCGTACATCAAGACGATGGGAAAGCCAGTTTCGCGCTTTGCTGGCTGGCCCTCGGAGGCGGGTTTCAGGACCTGCCGACCAACCTCATCGATGCGGTTGATGAGTGGGTCTCGCGCGTATGCACCAGGCGCGAGGAGATAGGTCAGAGCAAATTCACCACTGCCCTTCTGCCGGAACAAATTGTACGAATACTCGTGGAGAGCGGTAGCCTCCTCGGGTGGCAGGTGGTTGAAACGACGCGATGTCCAACCGGACACGAAGCGCGGGCCGAGGGGTCCGCCCATGCGGACAATGCTGAACGGCGAGACGGCGTTGGTATCCCACAGCCATATAAGCCAGCCAGGGAGTTGTCTCCGTGGAGCCTTGGGGGCCTGCTTCGTTTTGTTGTTGCCGACGCGCACATCTGTAGTCTTAGTGTTGCTGTCCTGCTGAACAATGCTTTCTTGGCTCTGGGTGAACTCTTGCGCCAGTGTCGAGTCCTTCGGTTCGGGCAGCTCGGCATTTGTCGCGTTGGGATCTTCGGGAACCCCGACGGGCGAAGCGAGAATCAGTTTGTTCAGATGACCGGGATATTTGAGCGCATAGGCCGTCGCCAGATAGCCCCCCATGGAGTGGCCCAAGAGCGTGAATTTCTCGATCTTGCGGATCTTGCGCCACTCCTCGAGCGCGTCGACAAAGAAGCCCTCGGCCTCCTGGATCTTCTCCGCTGGGTCCTTGGCCTTAATTCGGAACGGTGGCCGCGAAGAGTTTCCCATGCCTAGCATGTCTAGGGCGTACAGGCGCCATCCGTTGACCCTCGTGAGTGGCTCGAAGTTGTTGTAGAAGAAGCCCAGGCCTGCGCCGTAGCCGTGGAGCATGACGAGGGTCTCATCTGGCGAGTCATCGAGGCGTTCGACCGAGTACTCGTTCAAGGCCCTGTTCTTCCCGGACAGGGCGACCATGGTGGAGCGCCATACCCGAGGGCCGTAGGGATCGGGTTTGGAGATGGCACCTTGGGGGTTGGCGGAGTCGGAGATGGCCTCCCGGAGGTAGGGGACATATTTTAGGACATTGCGCTCGGATGCGGCAGGTGAGAGGTTTGCCCACTGGTTTGAGAATGTAACAATCAGCATTCGCTTCTACGGTGGTGTGGTGGCTCTAGAGCTAAGGCGCGTCGAGGGGCAGATGAGACAGGCACGACTTACCCACTGGTAGGCGGCCTCTTTGTAACCCAAGGGGAAATACGTCGACATTCGCTGCTGACCACGCTGTTGTTCCTGCTTCCTAGACCTTGAGCCTGACCTAGAGGAGTCCCTGGAGGACAACGATGTTTCGGAATCAGAGGGATGAGGAGAGGTGGAAGTGGGGGCGACCTCGGGTTGTGGGAAATGTTGAGGTTGTTGAGGAAGTGCGGCGGCGGTAGACATGGTGGCGAGACTAACACTGCGGCAGGGGGGAGAGGCGGTGGTTCTGTTACTGCAGCGGGCAAGGTGGGATGCGAGTGGGCGTCTCGTCGCAATAGGTCTTACTAGGGATACAGTGATAAATCTGGGTATGGGTATAGGGACGAATATTCTAGAGGCCAACATGTTTCCCCCCTCGGTCACGCAGGGAAGGGGCGCAACCTCTTCTTATTAATAACAGCCTCGAGGCATTGCGAGTGTTTGAACGTCGTCAGCCAGCTGTGCCTTCCGACCCGTTGCAGCATCATGGACCTGCAGCTGGCACGGAGTTAAGGAGCAACACGGGCCTCAAGCAGCACTGAATGCCTGCGGGAATGGCAATAGGGCCCTGGCTACTTTGCGAGTCCGAACACAGACCACAGGCCCCCAACCAATGACCGTCACGACGTGCATCCTTTGCGGCGTGGAATTGCTGGGTCGGCCTTCAGAATCCGCCCGTACTCCGACCCACTCGAAACATCTGTCCGGGCTCTCGTTCCCGCTAACTCCAGGTCGTATTTGCGTCCAGTCTGCCAGTAGCCGATGACGCAGTCGACCCCTGGCGGCATACCGTGGGGTACTAAGACAAGACCACCTTGGGCCTAGGCTTTGAGAGAGGAGCTTGGGGCAGGAAGCGGCAGCCCCTGCCTGCCCGAGCCAAGGCCCACCTGACAGGCCGAAAGCTCGGTTCTATCCGTTGTTGGGCTGGGGCCATGGCCATGCGATGCCATCCCACCTCTCCAGTTGCTGCAGTTGTGCTGCGCGTGAGTGCCGTGCCACTATAGACCTACACCTACATGTGATCGACCAACCACCATCTACAGCTCCACTGAAGAGAGCCACCACATAGACACTCCAGCTCAGCAAGAGCCTGGCTACGCGGTCTTCGTGCACAGCACAACACAGGCACATGAGCGCACATGCGAATGTCCAGGCCGCACGCTCCCAGCCTGACCGCCTCGCACCGCCTCGCCTCGCCCCGTCCCCCCTTCACTTGCGACACCTCGCTTGCGCCGCCTCGTCCCACCGCAGCCACACTCGATAGTCGCAGCCATGCCTGACGACCTCGACTCGATCGTCAAGGGCACCGCCGCCCCGCCCGCCGAGAAGGCTGCCGAGAAGGTCGCCAGCACCTCCGGCGTCACCCCCTCCAGCGGGAAGCCCGGCGACCCCCTAAGCCACGCGCCCTCCTCCCCGTCCATGATCTACCTCAATCTCCTCATCCTCGAGGCCTCGCTGCGCGCACAGTACCTCGAGCTTCGCGCCCGCAGGCGACACCACACCTTCTTCCTTTCCATCCTCAGCGTCTGGGTCGTGGGCTTCGGATATGCCCTGTTCTTCGCTCCGAGGGAGGACGGCAGGGGGCTGGGCGGCTCTGTCTACTGGGGCGTCGAGATGATCGAGAAACTGTGCTTCATGGGAGGCGTTATTACTGCCGCCCTCGTCTGGGCTACGGGCATATGGGAGCGTGGGGTCAGGTGGCCCAGGAGGTGGTTTGCCATCACCAATCGCGGCATCAGGGCTTTCAACCTCAAGCTCGTGCTCGTCAAGAGGTCCTGGTACGCTGAGGCACTGTCCACGCTGGGCTGGTTCCTTACCTACGGTTTGTTCTCTCACACCGCGGGGTCCTCATATCAATTCGTCGACCCGGCGATACTTCGAGAGGTGGACAAGGAGCTGGACCTCGCGGGCAAGGGTCACCCGATCCTCCCATCCGTCACCAGCGACGAGGAGAAGGCCGGGCGTGAGGAGGACCTCGCCCCCGGAGGAGACTACGTGAAGCTCCTGTTGCTGGCGAAACCCTTCTCGCCCACGTTCCGCGAAAACTGGGAGCTGTACAGGACCGAATACTGGGACCGAGAGAACGAGAGGAGGTCTCTGTTCCGCGCCAAGATCCAGGACAGAGACCGCTGTCTGCGCAGAGAGCAGTTTGGCTGGCTGTGGTGGGCACCATGGGCGAAGCCGGCACAGATCATGGAGAAGCCACACCACGCGCACCCTGAAAAGGCACACCATCGCAGGCTCTCGGTGGTCGAACGGGAAGGGAAGCGGTCGCGGAGCGGAAGCGTCCGCCGGGGCAGCATCTCTGGCCACTCTAGCCGGAGCCCCACACCGACGCTGGAGGTCAAGGAAGGAAGCACCAGTAGGAGGTCATCGGATGCCTCGCAGAAAAGGAACAAGGCCCTATCTTCTCAAGGATCCAAGTCTGGGAAGAGGCCAGGGGTGGAATCTCGATCTGTCACCCCGGAATTTTTGTCACCGCTGGCTCGAGAAAGCAGCGTCAGTGGGTTGACACCAACCGAGTCTAGCACAGGTAGTGACAGACGAGCAAAGTCAGCCTCGGATTCCGCCTAGTTTTAGACGACTTGGTTTGTACTACTGATGACTGAGGTGCACCAGGCACAGTTCTCATGTATGATACAGCAAATCAGATCTGCCAGATCCTGCGGCGCCTTGCCTGCCAAAAAAATGAATATCTACCATCGAGTTGGCACTTCAATTACTTCCAGGCCGTTGTCTTTTTGCCACGATGCAATGCATTGCAGGAAGGGAGCGCGGAAGCAACAGGGGCAGCCATGCCGATGATACGATGCTACTTGCTAATGAGAGTATGTACAAATGAATTGGCTGTGATGGGATTCCCCTAAGCTGCCCTAAGATTTGCACATGGGGCCCCTGGCAGGTGCCAGAGGACCGGGCCTTCCAGTGGCTGATCTCCCGCCCCACATTAAACACCTGCCTACTGTTAGGCAGTGGACTAGATGTAACTCGGCAGGCGCAGGTGCCTGGCGGGCAGCGACGACTCAGATCGCTCTCAATCTCGAGTGCGGTAGTCAACCCTACTTCATCCCTCGCTTTCTCTCGAGACAAAGACACAGACACATTGTTCTTGATCATCTCCACAACCCGGCCCCGGCCACAGCCATAACGGAATAAGCAAATTTCTAGATCCGTCAACCGCCAGACGAGAACTGGCCTACATGCACGTCTGCTATTGAAGGCCATTGCAACAACTCGTCACTTCTCACTTCATCACAACAACGCCGCCTCTCGTCTCTCACCTCCCACCAATCCCCCTTCAGCAGGGGTCCTTAACTCACCTCCTTCTCCCAATCGGGAGGTCTGCCATCATGCAGCCTTCACGGGTTCAAGACTCGCAGCCACACTCGCTGTCTGACGGCGTCGTCCGCACAGCGTCCTTCACCAACCGGCCTCCCAGCCCGCCATACATCCACATCCCCACTCCGCTGGCCGAGAACAACAACAGGCCTCTCACTCTGACCCCATCCTACGCCTCTGTTGACCCACGTGATCTCACCTCTGACGATCTGAAGATCATCACCGGCGGGAAAGTCCAACAGGCTTCAGACAATTACAAAAACACGTGGAAGTACGAAGACCGGCGCAAGGCTCAACCCATCCTGGACTTCCTCTACCTCGGCCCCCTCGCTGTGGTCCGAGACCATGAATTCCTCAGGCAGCAAGGCATCACCATGCTGCTTGCCGTGCGAGACGCGTCCATGTCGCACCTACGCCTCATCGCCATGGAGAAAGCCGCTGCAGAGCTCAACCTGGAAATCGAGAACGTCAGCATGGCCAGCAAGACCCAGCTCATCCACGACTTCCCACCCACCATTGCCAAGATCAACGACCACCTCCTTCGCGTGTACAGGAGCCAGTTGCAGGCTGTTAATGACGCCGGTAATGTGGCCATCGACACGTCCACCTTCAGGCGGGGCAAGGTGCTCGTCTTCTGCGAGACCGGCAACGAGCGGTCCGCAGTGGTGGTGGCGGCCTACCTGATGGCTATCTACGGGACTGATATGGTCAGCACTGTGCAGTTCATCTCTGCCCAGCGCTTCTGCGCCACCTTTGACGAGGACATGAAGCACCTTCTGCGGACGTTCGGGGACATCCTCAAGGCGCGGAGGATGGTCTCCGCGGAGTCTCAGCTACCAGCGCCCAAAAAGAGAAGCATCTATGACACCATCGATGAGGACGAATTTGTTGAAGATGTCGTGATGGACTGTGACCGCTACGAAAACAGGTCTGAGTTCATGCCGTACCGACAGAACTAGGCGCGGCGTGGTAGGCACGGGGCAATTTGACAGATCCACACTGAAGCTCCCAATGGTCCAGGAGCGGCAGGTGTTCTTTAGCGTGCGGAAATGGCACCTATAGGTCAAGGTCTCTTGGATGCCACGGAACTGTGTATGGAGGGCAAGGCATTATTAGGGGCCGCCCGCGCTGTTTTCATTTGACCATGATTGGCGGCGTTTTTGGTTTGTTAGGCGTTGGCTGGAAACCGTACTGATACCCCATTCTCACAGCATGATGGGTGGGCGTTCTGAGGCGAGAGACCTTGCTGAGGCATGGAAGAGGAAGCCAGGAGGTGTTGGACTACAATATGAGATTGAGATGCATCAAACACGGCAATGGAGTATAGCTAGAGCTCTTATCAAAGGGCTGCGTATCAAGCAAGCCGCCTCATAGGAACCAATAATCCAACAAAGCCTCTAGCCATCTACTCTTCACCCACTTGGTGATTGCTACACTGAGTAGTCACACTGGTCCATGTCTTCCTAGGCTCGCTCTGTTTCTCATGGCACTACATGTGTCATGACTTCACAAGCAGATACTTCAACATGGTCTTCTGGGCATTGATATAAGAACAAGTGAGTGTAGAGTCTTCAGTGGGTGGCTTCAGAGGAAAGGGGTGTGGAAAGAAAATCAGAAGAAAATGCCAGAGAAGGCATTACTCCTGAAGTGGCTTGGAGTGAGCCACTTTGTAGGGACATATCTCAAGAGACTGTTCCAAAGCACTCCACAGGGGCTCACTTTTGCCTCAGCAATCTAAATTTATCAGACATTCCTTGGGAAATTTGGTCAAGTGAATACCCGGAGTTTGCATATTGGAGAGGCAAAAGCAGAAGGCCATACTTTACTAACTCATTCGAAGGGCTCCAAGCAGATTCTCATCTCACCAAGTTTGGCATCTGATATTCATTAATCTGAAGGTCGGAGCCTTTGCCCCTGGAGCTCGTAGCAGCTGTGAAGTAATTGCTCTTACTCCAGCCCCAAGCTCATACATAAGGCGTCACCATCACATGGTTGCTGTGACAATCTCGCAGACTCAACACATGAGACTTTGCACAGCTTGCTTACAGTGCTTGTTCCTTCCCTGAGCAGATAGAGGGCTTTTGGTGCTTCAGAGAAAAGAACCATGATCGTCTTTATTCAGGACTGTTACAGCTGAGCTTGATTTGGAATCACTGATTTATGGTCACCCTAACATCGACTCACCTCACGCGTTCGTCGGTCAGGTTCCAGCTCTACCACTGGACATAGCATTTCGCATCGTGCTCTGGCATCTTTTAACCACGACCTCAACCCTTTTGATTGGATTTGCTTGCCTTATCAGGTATCCAGGTACCAAACCAACAGCCTGATCCATCCTATCTGCACCCCCGTCGACCACCCCCGTCCCCGTCACAGACACAGCATCGCAGCTACTTAGAATGGCTTTCGACTACTTCGACTCAGACTCGTCCTACGACGAGGATGCCCCCCTTGACCGCAGTACAAACACCATGAGCCTGCGCAAAACCTCGCGCCTCAAACGCCCAGTGCGCTACCGCGACGATTTCGAGCCCATCGACCCCGGCCGCCCAGTCTTCGTCCACCAAGACCCCATCTTCAACATGGACCGCGCAAAGTTCGTGCAATGGCGCTCGCTCGAGCTCGACGAGCCCTCCCCCGGCGAGGCCCAGTACAAGATGTGGCAGGAGCAGGGCGAGCCACGAGACGCGTTCGGGGAGCCCGTCATACCGACGCGCGCCCCAGGTCAAGTCGCAGAGTCGCCTGGCCCTACCGTCGCTCACCTACGTCGCCAGTCCACCATCGTCCGCCCTGACCAGTCACAGCCCGTCGTTGACTCCATCGAGCAACGAGACGAATTTGACGAGGTGTTTGAGGCAAATATGGCGGACCTTGAGGACGACGAGGAGCCTCAAACAGACGATGACGATGAGTCCCTTGTGATTCATCCTCATCTGTGCTCAGTATACCAGGTAAGAAGTCCAAGCGATTCCTGTCTTTCTCAGCCCGCCACCCTTCTCAGCCTAATTTCACTGCTCCCCAAACCGTTTGTGCATGTGCTTGAAGGCGAGAAACTGACAACGCGTTCGTCGGCCCAGGACTGGTCCGCTCTCAGTCGCAATGTCCAGTGGGCCATAATCTATGATCTGGCCAACGACCACGAGGATGGAATCACTGCGGCCGCGAATCTGCTGGGTCTCACCCTAGACGACGTGATCAAGTTCGTCAACATGTACGTACGCGAGAAGACGCTTTGGGAGAACGGCACCTACCAGGACGAACCTGTCCGCCCTGTTGGTGAACTTTTCCAGCTCGACGGCGCGCAACACGAAATCGAGCAGCCAGTGCCGGAAGCTGGAGTTGATCAAGTCATGCACGAGCATGAGCTCGAATGGCAAGATTTCGGTGTTGGAGCTACACGAACGATCACTGATGCTGCAGTCGGCCCACCAATTCTCGGAGGAGCTTACGACTTTCAAAACGAGCCCGAGCTCGAGCTCTTTCAGGAAACAAACGCTCAGGTCGTAGCTGGGAAAGAAACTGGCCAGCTTGGTGCCGAGAAAGTAGCAGAGAAAGTAGCAGATCATACCGGCGCTCAGGCGAACGATGAGCAGTCGGCTCCCGTAGCGTGCCCACCTGAATTGGAACTCCTTACCGACAGGTTCTCGAGGGAAGACATCGCGAGTGGCCGCAGCTTCCTGACATTTGCCGGCCTCCAGGAGTACGCCGACCGCTTTGGCCAATGGTTTGGCACTGGAACTGCGTTCCGTGAGATCCCGGGTATTTTCGACGAGAACAACGAATTCATATTCTCGACCGAAGACACCAAGAAGGCGCTCTACAGTGGCAACGAGTTCATATGGCAAGGGCCAGTTCCACAGCTCGGGAATGGTTCTGTACAGCGCGAGGCGCTCATGGAAGCTCTTCCTCAGGGTCCCGCGCAAGACAAGGAGCCGGTCTCCTCGCCATTGCAGCAATTCCAGGCTTTGGCTGAACGTGTCAACGGTCGCCCCATCAAGAGCGGGGGGTTCTTCGATTTCATTCCCGAACCTGCGCATGGTGGCCTGAGGTATGTTGAGCCTGCCCCAGCTGCTGCGCTTGCCAATTTCCTCGTACACGACAAATACGACGAGAACGAAGCGGGGAGTCTCATGCGTGAGGAGGCAGACGGCCACGCCGGCAGCAACGTTGACTGGCGAAACAACAACCGATCCCATGGGACAGATGAGAATATGCTCCGAGGTACGTTTGGAGGTTTCGGTGACGAAGGCGCACAGCTGTTCAGCACGAGCTCAGCCATGCGACTTTGCCCTGAGATGCCTGGATTTGACAACGGCATCGCACGCCGCTTCCTTGAATCGCACCACGACGTCGACGAAGGAAATCACGTTACGCGCAAAAGCGTTCCACAACAGTATCCATCGCCTTCCCTTCAGCTCCCGCCCTTCCTTCAACCTCATGAAGGCATCGTGCACCCAGCGAGCAAAGCCGTCCCCGCCTTTTCTTCACTGGGGCACAACAGCAGTCACGTTGCACGCAGCGACCAGGCATCACAGGCTCGGAACAGGGATTCCTCGAGCGCCACGCCTAACCCCACGACATCTCGGTCCATCGAGACATCATCGAAGCCTGACTCTCTGATCACGGCCGATAAGGACACACACGACGCGAGTGTCACCGTCGTGCCCGCCTCAGGCGAAGCAATTAACAACGGCGCGAAGTCAGATGCGCAAGGCGCAGCCGAGTCTGGTCAATTCAGCGAGAACGGCATAGAAATCGCAACGTTCCCGAAGTGCTATAGCTGCTTCAAGGTCAGAGCCCGGTGTAACGGTGGTCGGCCCTGCAGCAGCTGCATCTCCAGGAACAGAAAGTGTAAGGACGTCACAAAGGCAGCCCTGGATGAAGAGCCAGATAGGGCGGAGCGAGTGCTCAAAGATAAAGCCAAAGCGGATGCCATGGCGGCCCAGGCTGAAAAGCCTAGCACGGCTCGAGCCACTGCTTCGACTCCCAATACTGCGATTTCTGCTCTGGCAGCCTCGCATGCCGCAACATCCGGGGTCAAGCGGAAGCAGTCAGCCATGACTGGAGTCGCCTCGACAGACGAAGATGATTCTGATCTTGACAACTTTCCGCCCGAGAAGGAAGATCCAACAGACGGCGACTATGGCCTCGAACCGAAGAAGAAGCGGCCGAAGAAGGGTAATACCTCCGTTGGCAAGAAGCAAACCCCCAGCCGGGCGAAGGCGGGAGTACCTGCAACTCCAACTCCAACCAAGAGGCGAGGACCGTACCGGAAGAAGGTTGACACATCTACGCCCAAGCCCAATAAGCCGGTTGTTGGCGCCCCCAGTACACCGACTCCCCGGTCTGGTGGGAATGCTTCTGCTGGTAACGTTGTTGCAGCCAAGTCTGCGCAAAAGACTTCGGCCAAGGCTCCCGCCGCCGTTAAGAACAAGTTGTCCAGCCCGTCCAAGAATGCCGGTGGAAACAGTCTCTTAGGGGCCGAAGGAGGCAAATTGGTGAATGATGGTGCTGAGGTAGTGAGACATGCAGGAGGCCAGCCCGGAATGACGAGCACTCGGCCCGTCCCTGTCGGAAAGCGCGATCAGACCACGAAGCTCAATATGCTCGATACGTCTTCGTTTTCTCCCAATCTTTCATCTAGTGCTGAAGACACCCGCTACCTCAACATACCGTTCGCCCCAGTTGTTTCACGGCCACACACGCCCGCGGGCAGGTTTGTGCCTGGGATGCCAATGACAGAAGTCCCCAGGTCCGTTGCTGGATTACCTGACACTTCCTTCCGTGCGTCACCTTCCGGAGCACGTCCGATGCCAGTGGCTCGGGGTCATCCCCTACCGCCCCGTCCTGGAACGATACCGGCAGGAAATGATCACCCCTCCGGTGCTGGGTCGCCCAAGACTGCCTCGACCCTGAAGACACCAATGGCTTTGCAGGAAATGCTTCCAGTGACCACAGATAGGATGTCGTTGGTCCCGCAGATTGCTCGGCCTGGCTTGAACGGCTCCCCTGGGGCCACAGAGATTTCGCCAACATCTCAATCAAGCAGTTCAGGCACAACTGCGTCTATGGACTTCTTGCATATCCCTTTCACCCCGGCTCAGGGGTCTCCCGCCCAGCGTGATGGAAGTGTGCCAGGTAGGCTCCGACAAGGCAGTTCCGTTCATCAAAGAATGTCGGGCTTCTCGCCAAATTTGTCGGCGGAAATGGTGCCATTGGACTCGCCAGCTGCGTCTCAGCGACGGCGTTCGGTCTCATCATACAACAATGGAGCCCATAGTTCAGGCACCAGCGTTCCTTCCCCCATGATGCAGGTGGATCCAGGGTTCGCCATGTCCCCCGGACTTATGTCGCCTTACGCGATATTCCAACAGCAGCGGCCTGCCACACCTCGTCCTATTTCGAGGATGCAGCAAGGTCTTGATTATCCCGTCCCTCAACAAATGATGCACCCTTCCAGGCCGTCTGGCGTGTTTCATGACCCTCAGCCCGAGGAGCTGTGGCCGGAATCGCGAGGTGTCAGCGCCTCCCCTATGAGGCAACAAGACAACACAGCTCCCTCTCGGCCCACAAAGCGACAGGCAGACGCGCCATTGGATCCTGCCCAACAACCTGCTAGAAAGAAACCGAGAGCCCCCGCCAGCCCCCTGGCTCCCCCAAGAGAGGCAAGGAGCTGGAAGGAGTTGGCGCGTAGCCACTGGACCACCGAGACTCAAGAGAACCAGCCAGAAACGGCCAACTTCTCGGTCAAGCCAGTTTTTGGCGGCGACGGGTCATTCGACGTCTCGTTCAGCCGGTTCACAAGGATCCACGAGCAGATCGACCCGGAGCTCCAGCAGACCGCGATGGCAGCGGCGCGCAAGATCAACAGGTCATCTGCTAGCACCGATGAGAAGCTTTAGACAAAGGATTCTGATCAGTTTGAAATTCATACCGAGTAGTTGACTTTCCGCCCGAAGCTTTCACACCCTTACGGCGGGTGAAGATCCTCGCTCCACGCGAGGCGAGGGGAATCGGTAGTTCTTGAAGATTGACGATGCCTGCGTACGAAGATTGATCAGGTACTTTGCAAGAGCTTCAGGCGGTAAATGTTGAAGGAGCTCAAGCAAGCTCAACAATCCGTCCCTTCATGACCCAAAAGAAAAGGCCATGTTTGTCAAAATTCGATGAAAAGAACTCTTTGATTCCCAGTTCGACTGATGGTCTTTGAAGTGAGGCCTTATCTCGACATCATCAGCCTTACAAGGTACATATACCATTGATATACTGCTCCGGGAGAACGGATATCTCATCAGAGTCTCTTCCAGGTCAATTCTTCAGGAAGATAGAGTCCAGTGGACTGAACACGGGGGCAGGATATGGGTGACGAAAACGGATCAGCCATCCTGGGTAGAGAGCACCAAAATATGCGCTGAGATTTGGGAGGTGACTGGATTAAGGTCTGAGGAGATTTTTCAGTAGTGGCTCGGATGAGACAAAAGAAGTCTTAGAGAAGCCATTGTGGATCGGGGACACAAAAGCAATGCTTAATGCAGCAACAGTGAGACAGGATACAAAAGGTCCATCATTGAGGATTATGCATTTTTTTTTTGAGAGAGAGCTTGCAGGCAGAATAGCAATGGATTGTGACATATGACACATCTCTAGTACAGAGGGTAGCTTGATGATATGATGAAGTTGTTGGTATAATATTGGTGGTGTCGATGATGATGGGGCTGGGGGCAGTCATGTAGCTCGGAAGAGAGTTCCAGCTCAGAAGCTCCCGACCTTGTTGGCACTTCAGCCCCCTGCCAACGTGCACAGACCCACTTGATGGCAATGAGAGACTGCATCCACTTATTACACTCCCAAGCTTGCCCCAGTTGTCCACTCTGCCCAATGTAATAGCATCATTCTCCCCTGAACCGAAGCCTTACCCTGCGACTAACCAGGCTCACTTTGTAGAAAGGCCATCAGTACCAATCCATTATCGAATCAAATACCCCTGCTTTCTCCTCCAGCTTTCGTGCTAAACACCACTTCCGTACTTGTACTTGGCGCAACCCAAAGAGAGAGGCCCCAACTCTACCGAGCGGACTCCAGAACCAACAAACGCCGCACCATCCACACGCTTCGGCGACTGGGCCCCCGATCATGGCACCCCGGATAGAAGCTCAGGAAATCGAGACATACTGGAACATCTTCTCAGCACGGACTGGCGGCGGCCAATTCCTCACAGGAGAGCAAGCAGCGCCCGTACTCAAGAACAGCGGCCTCAACGACGCCCAACTCGAACGGGTGTGGGACCTTGCAGATGTCGATAACGATGGCAACCTGGACTTTGAGGAGTTCTGCGTCGGCATGCGGCTGATCTTCGACATCCTCAACGGCGTGCGTTCTGGGCCCAGATGGGGAGGCGGTTGTTGGGGCAGACCGGCGTTTGCTGACAGTTGCTCCTAGGAATACATGGACGTCCCCGCCACACTACCAGATTGGATGGTCCCGGAGTCGAAAGCACACCTTGTCCAAGCAAACCGTGCACTCACAGGCAAGGCAGCCCAGTTTGAACAAGTCGACGACGATCCGGACGAGCTGGGCCTGAAGGATGGCTTCGATTGGTACATTAGCCCTGCAGATAGGGGCAAGTACGAGCAGATATATCAGGAGAACCGGGACATGCGTGGGGAGATATCCTGTGAGCTGCCATGAACATATTTTACTGCTAGGAGGACCGTGACAAAGGGGCTAATACGTGATTGCTTCCACACAGTCGGCGCCTTACAAGACCTCTACGACAGCCTCGACGTCCCCGACACCGATATTCGCTCCGCATGGAACCTAATCAACCCCTCCGCCGCCTCCTCCGTCAACAAGGATGCATGCGTAGCCTTCCTGCACATGCTCAACTACCGCCACGAGGGCTACCGGATCCCGCGCACGGTGCCCGCCTCCCTCCGCGCGTCCTTCGAGCGCAACCAGATTGACTATCAGATCGACAACCAGCGCACCGCCGCGCAGAGCCGGTGGGCCGTCAAGGCCGACAACGAGACCGCCACGGGCCGCAAGGCCAAGTTTGGCGACCAGTACCTGACGCGGCTGGGGCGTAGCGGGTTTAAGAGCTCCGGCACCGACTTCTCCACCGAGAAGACCGACGACTGGGAGGAGGTCAGGCTGAAGAAGCAGCTGGCCGACCTGGAGGCCAAGATCGAGAAGGTCGAGTCTTCGGCCGAGATAAGGTCCAGCGGGAAGAGGGAGAGCAAGCCCGCGCTGGTCAAGAGGGAGCTGGAGCAGCTCCTGGAGTACAAACGGAAGCAGTTGAGGGATTTGGAGGAAGGAGCAAGCAAAGGGGCCGGTGGCAACAGCCTGAAAGGCATCCAGGACGACCTGCAGACGGTGAAGGAGCAGGTTGAGGGCCTGGAGACGCACCTGAGGTCGAGGGAACAGGTGCTGGAGCAGATCCGGCGGGAGATCGAGGACGAGAAGGCGAACAGATGATCCAAAGTGGACAGCGCCTTTTCATACCTGCCTACAAGCAGCAAGAGACCATGGTAGAGACTGCAGTTGATACCTCTTTGGATCTGTTCTAGCCACAAGGCAATTATTATCGTAGATGAGGAGCACACTGCGTCCTCCAACTTCAGCTTATAATGGGCCTCCATCGCACCATAAACAAGAATAATGATCTCCGAAGATGTACAAAGGAAAACAAACACAACCCTAAGCCACGCTGCCGCTGATATACCCAGGGAACCGCTGTATACCCAAGGTCTTTCCCTTAGCCAACCACACCATGACAGACAGCATCTTGACGGGTCCCATCCTGCCTGCGCCCCGATTCCTGCCCACGGCGCATGCCATAATATCCACGGGCATCAGCTTTACGACCTGGGGCTCCTTGCCCTGGAGGGCAAGCTCGACGTTCTTCCCTACGCCGGCGGCCTGTGAAACGTTGTCGTCAGTCACCCATCCAACAATTCCAGCCAGCATCTCGCGGAGAGAACTCACCTGCTTCTGCGTGAACAGGAAGCCACCCCTCGGCACGCTGACGACGTCCCCGAGGGCCCAGACGCCCTCCTTCTCCAGGCCCTTGACCCGGTAGTACTCGTCGACGCTCACGTAGCCCTTGTCCGTCAGGTACTGCTGGTCCATCATCTCGCTGTTGGCGCGCATGCCTATCGTGGGCAGGTACAGGTCCGTGGTGATGGTCTCGCCGCTCTGCAGGGAGACCTCGGTCTTGCCGTCGGGCAGCTCCTTGCTGCCGGTGACGCGGGCGTCGAAGCGCACGTGGACGTGCAGCTTCTTGAGCTCGGCCAGGGCGGCCGGGCCGACCGAGTCGCCGTCGAGGAGCGAGGGCCCGCCCGACAGGAGGTGGACCTCCTTGTCCTTGCCGTACTCGCACCCCAGCTCGCCCGCGACCTCGATGCCCGTCGCGCCGGCGCCCGCCACGACGATGTGCTTCGCCTCCTTGACGCGCTCCCTGGTCGCGTCCAGGTTCGACACCGTCTCGTCGTAGCTGTCGAGGATCTTCCAGGGCACGCTGGACGTGGTGGACCGCGACCCGGTGGCGACCACCAGGTGGTCGTAGCTCAGGGAGCGCGACGAGCCCGGCAGCGACACCAGGACGGTCTTGGAGCCCGTGTCGACCTTGCCGGCCGCGCCGACGATGACCTCGTAGGTCTCCTTGGGGTACCGCTCGAGCGCGGCCGAGAGCGGCTGGAAGAGCTGCTCGTCCGCAATCTGGCCCGGGACGATGGCGCGGACTGACGCCATGTTCCAGTAGAAGTGCGAGCTCTGTTGACAAGGGTTTTGTTCTGTTAGTCAAGCGAGCCCCGAGGGAGGTCCGCACGGGGAGGTGCTCGAAAGTTGCGCTTCCGCACTATGTCTCATGCTTTGCACACAGAAAGGTGTCGCGGCTGTCATACCTTTGACACGAGGATGACCTTGAGGTCAGGAATCTTCTGCTTGAGCAGGTAGTGTGCAATATGGAGGCCGGCATACGATCCTCCCAGGATCACGACTGTCTTGGCCATGTTGGGCAGTTGGGCGCAGCCTTTCACTCGAATTTGGCTGGAATCGGTCTGAATAGAAGCCCAAGAAGGTTTTCGGGCAAGTGACAGGAGTCAATCAGAGATGTAAATCGCCGAACGGAGAAAAAATACAGGAGAGAAGAAGGGTCCGGATGTGAGACTCAAATGCCGGAGATGTGTTGGGGAAGCTCATGTGGAAACATTCCGGTGGTGTACCTTGCAGCCTGCCACCCTTCTTGCGAGTCCGTGCAGAGATGGGACGAATGCTTGATTGTAGGATGACAAATGGGGCCAGGAGTGTCCAGCGACATCCAGCGGCTGGTGATGGTTGATGAATCAGTGAGCAAAGGGGGAGAGCTCGACCTCGACCTCGGGCTGGCGAGGTTGCTCAGACAGTGGGCTAGCAACGAACAGGACGCCCGGCCAAATGCTAGCCAATGGTCCCCAGCTCCTCCCAGACCTGCCTTGCCCGACACATAGTTAGGGGAGCCGGGGTCATGGGAAGAGGGCCACAAAAGCAGTGTCAGAGAGGTGTTCGCGATATCCCGTCAGATCATAGCTGCTGCTGAACTTTATTGTCACACCTGCAGCCACAGGGGACCAATTAGTCTGAGATATTGGCGGATGCAGGTCCACAGGACGGATGCTGATCCCAGTCAGGCCGCCGGCTCGGTCCCGAAACGCAACCGGGGACACCCCCCATCTTTATCACCGACTATCAAACCGGACGCACGTACGTGCACTGCGTAGACTGGAAACTTACGAGGACACATCTAGGGGCTGAGGTCATCAAATAGCTCGACTGAGGATCACACTATTGAGTACCTAGATAGGCCAGACATTCCTGCGCCATGCTATGTGATCGGGTGGGTCTACGTTCGCGACTTCTTCCCTCTTACCTTCAATATAGGAACTCGTCCCGGGAAGGGGTCGCATCCTGAGAACACTTGAAACTAACATTGGAGACGTTTTGAGTTGTACAGGTATATCACTCACTCATTCACTTCTGTGTGAACGGCCAGACTACACCACGGTCACCACCGATACCTCATCCCCGAAGCTCAAAGCTCACTGTCCTTTAACAGTTCTTTAATCACCCAGACCAGAGACAGGCCCGTCAACACTACTATTTCCCCTCGAATATTAACGAGTTGATCACTGGCCTTTGCGCTTACTGTCTCGTAACACACTTGCTCCTAATAATGGAGATCTTATAAACAGGAGAATGCGTAGCTGGACACATCACATCTAGTTGTACGAGCAACCAAGTGGTCAGAGGGTAAAATTTAGTCCTAACTCGCCTCTGGGCGAGCCGTAATCACATAGTGGATGTCTAGGTAGTATCGTGGTAGATATAAAGGGGGGGGTTCGGGTTTAGACTTCGTCATTCGATGGAAGGAAAGCAGAGGTTCGAAGAAAGGCGGCAGCAGCCATGGGCCTACCGGACAAGTGGGTGATCGAGAGAGCTTGAAAGTGAGGGTCCCCATTTCCATATCTTGTCTGGTACCAGTCGATCTAAGTGTCATTTCGATATAAGGATAAGATGTCGTAAATATCATGTGAGGCCATCACGACAGGAGAGAATGAGAGAAGGAGGCTACCGAGGCCCCAGGGCCGACTTCTGGAGCGCATCGAACGGTGGGGCCTGCCTCCGCAAGTCAGGCCCAATGACGTGCAAACCACGACGCAGAACCCCTCCCTCCACAAACCTGCCCAGCAGGCCGGAGCAGCCCAGGTGATCAATGCCCCGCCAAACGGCCCCCAGGGATCCTGTCACATAGTAGAGCTCTCAACAACTTGGACGTCAACCTTCCCCCCTTCCCTCAACATCTCGAACAAGCACAGCGCATAGCAAGAACACCATCCTCTACTCCTCTGAAAACTGCTAAAGTCTACTCCATTTCCCCCCCACACCCCACAACCAAACCACCCATCATGTCTTTCGAAAAGGCCATCGCCGACTCCAAGAAGCTCACCTCCAAGCCCTCCAACGAGGAGCTGCTGGACCTCTACGGTGCGAACCTGAAAGCGTGGATGTTTCTGCCCCGACCATCCTACTGACAACAGCGCAGCCCTCTTCAAGATCGCAAACGGCGAGGACATCTCCAAGGCCCCTGCGCCCGGCATGTTCGACCTGAAGGTACGCTCTCGGTCCCTCGGTCCTCCCATGGCCCCTGTCCCCATGCTCCTCCTAGTCGCAAGAGCCGCGGACGAGAAGCTGTCATTCCACCAGTGAACATCATCAACACCCAGCTAACAATGTCTGTTTTTACCCGGCGCACAGGGCAAGGCGAAGAAGAACGCCTGGCAGAAGAAGGTCGACGAGGACGTCACCCAGGAGCAGGCCAAGGAGCAGTACGTCGCGCTCGTCGAGAAGCTCAAGGCCCAGTACGGATACGACGAGAACAAGGAGCCAGAGGCCGTTGGCAACTAAGCGAGGGCTCCCGGCTGAAGAGAAATGACGTTAGGTCACACCCGAGGTGGAGGAGGTCGGTACACACGGATATATACATACACACGCAAGCGCACACTGCCAGATAGACGGGCGGAAAGACGACCTGACTAGGTGTACACACAAATACGGCCAAGAGCTGCTCGAAAGTGAGAACCCGTCGCGAGTTCATTTGCCAGTAGAGAAGTAATTTTGCAGTAAATCTACGTCTCTCTCACGCTCTGTGAGTGAGGGTGTGAGGCGATCCAAGAAGTCACCACTACCCCTACCACACCCGACCTTTCCAGTCAGGCTCATGATAGCTTGCTGTAGCGACCCATGGCTTCTCATCTGCACCATAGGCCTGTAATGGTTGGTCGTACGGGATGCGAAGAGCTACAGTTGATGTCTCTGTGCTCTCCTCCAGGGTATCTGTTTGAAACGTGCCGACCATCTTCGCCTTTTCAGAAAAGAGCGCCGGCCAGACCAGGACGCCAATTTCCCATGACGCTATCCGCATCTCGCCAGACGAGTTGGCGGCTTCTCCCCAGGCTTGCTTGGACAGGTTCGCCGACGTGGTGAGCGCCCAATCGATCGATTTCTCACCATAGCGAATGTAAGTCTTGATATGGGGCGCTGCTCGCTTGCGACCTGCCTCTTTATGTGAGAGGCCCCCTTCGAGTTCCCGTCCTCGTGGCGCATCATTCGCCCAGTGACAGAACATGGGTTTCAAGTAAAGAAGCTGCTTGGCTTGCTGGGCGGACTGGATCTTCGTGTGTATCGAGGCTCCGCTCTGGTAGCCGTCCAGACTGCGCCGGATTTCATCAGGCGTAGGAAACACGATCTTGTAGCTGGGCTGCTTCTGGGTGGCATTCCTTGAGACCTTGAGCGAGTCGAACAGGCTTCGGCGGAGCCAGGCGTCTGTTGGCCCTAGGGTGGCAATACTTGAGATCTGAACCACAATTTCAGACTCACCTTCTTGCACAGGCACATTTTTCAGCGCCTGCTTCAAGCCTGCCCAGCCCCATCTCGTCTCCGATTCGTCATGGATAAGGTGGCGGCCGGGGACAGATGCAACCAGGGCGGCCTTGATCGAAGAAAAGTCATATTTCTCCAGCTTTTCAACCAATGTCCTGCAAACAGTCCTCCCCTGGTGGTCATATGCTCTAAGGTAGTTCAGGAGGTCAACCTTGAACTTGCCGCCGCTGCCAAATGCGGTCGAACTGCCTCCCATGCTGTAAGCCAGGGGTTCCTCGTGTAGTGGGAGCAGTGGGCTTCGCCAAACCGCCTGGGTCATATTGGTCCAGTCCCTCGCTATCATGTTTGCCGTATGGATGATGACCTGGGCTGTATCATCGTGACGGACAAGAATTAGCATTTTGGAATGATGCGTGCCGAACATCTCAGGCATAAATGCGCAATGGAGCGTCACATTTTTGTGCCTCTCAGCTTGCTCCTTTTGCTTCCGTCAGCAAAGGTAGTTCCGGCGTGGATGCATGTCGCCAAGACCGTCAAGTGGGATGCAAAACGAGCGGGCTGACCTGAAGCATCAGACGGCTTGTGTCCTCTTTCTTCCAGAAGCCGTGGACTACATGAACTTGAACCAAGTGCCTTGTGTCCTCGTCGAAATGAGACATGAGAAAGTCAACATCATGCAGATAGTTGAATTCCCAGCATTCTGCGATCAAGGGGTCACCGAGGATGTCTCGCAGGGTGACAGCGTCGGTGTTGGCAGCATCAGGGAGATCCTGAATCCAAGTGAGCTGAAAGGGTGACTTGAAAGTCTGCTTGGCTTCATGACTTGGTGGAGGGGCGTCAGTGTGTGCAGCACTTGCAGGCGTGATTTGGGCCTTTTCCTCGTTGCCTTCAGACTGGGCGGCTGTTTGACGGCTTCTTCGCTTCCTTGGAGGACTGACGGGATGGCTGAGCGAGCGAGGAGTCGATTGTCCTGGAGTGCCCGTACAATCTTGCTCGCCGGGTTCGACACCCAGACGGCGTCTCTTGGGCAGAGGCTCCATGCTTTCAGTCTACAGCTTCATGGAATGGTCAGCTGTTTTACCGGCGGTGGGTCGCAGCAGTGTCCTTGATCTCGTGTCCGGCCAGCTCGTATCAGGACTGGGAGCTGCCACCGAGGAAGGGACGCAGCTTGAAGATCGTGAGTGACACGACTTTCTGCTATCGAGGCATGGAATAAAACCTCGTGAGTGAGCAGGGCGTCTGCGACCACCAAATGCGATGTGAGCTTTCCTTGTGGACCCTGAGATCGGCAGCAGGAGGTCGACGTGGGCTTCACACGGAAGTTACCTGGGCACCTGCTTGGCCAGACCAGATCCAGGTCGTTCTTGCCATCTGGGCGGAACTACTGTAGAATATTGCTATTGCTTGGTAGATACAGAAGGGGTGGGTGGAAGCCACTAAAACCGGGGCACGACCCGCAGATCCCCCAGGGCCCTCTGGGACCTGAGCCAGGCTGGGCCGGCCGAGAATAGAGTGTACTGTCCAATCACATTCCACTTGCCGTCCCTCTGGTGGCCAGACCAGGCATTTGAGCACGCACGCAGCAAGAGTCGAGACGGCGCTTGGCTTGGGGCAATCTGGCACTCGTGTGACATGGCGCATTTCCACAGTTGCCAGTTGCACCTGCACTTTGCGCTTGCACCTCCTTGTTCGATAGACCACTTTTAGCCTCGCTTCACCCGCTCACTGTCTTGCGTTGCATTTTTGCGTTGCAAACCGTCCTCGTCCTCGCCGTATCACTTTTTTCCTTGCGTCGCCTGTCGCCCTGCCTTCTCTCGTTCTCCCGTCCAAGCGATTGCGCAGGTTCCTGACGCTATCTATACTGCAAGCCCCTTTCTTGGTAGCAGGCGGACAGATCCCTTCCGCGTTGATCGCCACCGTCGCCCGTGCCTGACCCTTCCACCCTCATCGACTTTGCCCTGGAAGACTCGAGATACGCGTTTCGCCTGGACCCAATCAGTTGTGTGACGCCCGATGTCTAGGTGACACGGCTGCCGGAAAAGATTCGCGACAGACGCAGGTGTGCTCCGGCACCCGTATAGTCGACAGCCCCGTGTTGCTATCGACCAGCCATCGCCCGACCATCCACCCGACCGGGTCCAACCCTCGACTACGTCGTATCTCTTGGGCAACATAAGCCATGAGGTTCTCCTCCCTAGCCTGGGGCCTGCTCCTCGGGGCTACTGCCCGGGTAGCTGCCCAGGACGACTTCGAAGACGATGAAATACCAGAGGACAAGTCCCTGGAAACGACCACGTTTGATGGTATCAAGGTCCCTCCGATGCTCGAACTCACCCCGGACAACTTCGAGGCAGAGATCAAGAAGTCAAAATACATGCTGGTCAAACACTACAGGTGCGTTCCTGGCTCTCGGTCGTGGTCAAACCGGCCCGGAAGTATTGCTGACATGCCACAGTCCATACTGCCCACATTGCCAGGATTTTGCGCCAATCTATCGCACGCTGTACGAGTTCTACTACACCGATCCGGCACCGGGCCCCGGCAAATCGTTCGAAGAATACTATGACTGGCGCTTTGCAATGATAAATTGTGTCGCATTCTACGATCTATGCGCCGGAAACGGGGTCCAGTCCTACCCGACGTCGATGCTGTTCATAGACGGTGTGAAGAACGAGAGTTACAGAGGTGTTAAGAGCTTGAAATTCCTGACCGACGCCATCGAACCCGTGCTCGAGCGCGAGAGACCCGGATCCAGACCGAAGGCACTGTTGCTTCCCGAACCCCTCGCCACGGCTCGTCCAAAGGCGGCCGATGATTCGAAACTAGCTTCGGTTCCCAAGCCCGATGCCCAGCCGCAGATAGAGCTCAGGGAGCCTGCTAAGGCTGGTTCTGGAGCGGCGGCTCCTGTGGCTCCTGCAGCTGCCGCCCCTGCTGTCGAAGAACTGGGGTCTCTTAAGGCCGAGAAGCCCAAGGCTGCGGACCCCAAGGCACCAGCTCCCGCGAAAGTTGAGCCTGAGAAACCGGCAAAGCCCACAAAGACCCCAAACCCGAACGGCGCTTCCGTCCCCCTGACGGCGGAAAGCTTCCAGACGATGGTAACGATGACCCATGAACCGTGGTTCATCAAGTTCTATGCTCCCTGGTGTCACCACTGCCAAGCCATGGCGCCTAACTGGCAGCAGCTTGCTAAAGAAATGAAGGGCAAGCTGAACATTGGCGAGGTCAACTGCGAAGCAGAAAAGCGACTTTGCAAGGATGCTCGTCTCCGTGGCTATCCGACCATCCTCTTCTTCAGAGGCGGTGAGCGAGTAGAGTATGAGGGTCTCCGAGGCGTTGGTGACTTTGTTACCTATGCTGAGAAGGCTATCGACCTCTCCAACGGTGTCCGCGATGTTGACGCCGATTCTCTCGCGGTTATGGAGGAGAAGGAAGAGGTCATCTTCATCTACTTCTACGACCACGCGACCACAAGTGAGGATTTTGCGGCTCTCGAGCGATTGCCTCTCAGCCTCATTGGCAAAGCCAAGCTGGTCAAGACCCAGGATCCCAAGCTGTACGAAAGGTACAAGATCACGACTTGGCCGCGGCTCATCATTTCTCGGGAAGGAAGACCAACATACTACAACCCTCTGACGCCAAATGAGATGCGAAATACTCGTCAGGTTCTTGAGTGGATGAAATCAGTCTGGCTACCTATTATCCCGGAGCTTACCGCATCAAACGCTCGTGAAATTATGGATGGCAAGATAGTGGTCCTGGGCATCCTCAATAGGGAAGACCAAGAATCATTCTCTGGCGCTATCAGAGAAATGAAGAGCGCGGCTACTGAGTGGATGGACAAGCAAATCCAACTTTTCCAGTTAGAACGTCAGGAGCTGCGTGATGCAAAGCAGTTGCGGATCGAGGAAGCCGAGGACCGTGGAGACCAGAGAGCGCTCCGAGCTGCCAAGAGCCAACAGGTCAACATGAACCGAGCAGATCGGAAGGAGGTTGCATTTGCGTGGGTCGACGGAGTATTTTGGCAGAGGTGGATCCGTACCACATATGGTATTGATGTGAAGGATGGTGAGAGGGTCATCATCAATGACGAAGACGTAAGCTCAATTTTTCTGTGTTATCTTTGCTGCACATATACTAACTCATTCTCAGAATCGTCGTTATTGGGACCAAACCAGCACGGGCAACTACATTGTCCCGTCGCGCACCTCAATCTTGGAGACTATCAACAAGGTCACCGCGCAGCCCCCAAAGCTCAAGCCGAAGCTGACCATCTCGAGCTTCGAGAAGATCTTTTTCGACATGCGGGTCACATTCTCCGAGCACCCGTACCTCACTCTCGGTTGTATCTTTGGTCTGATCCTTGGCTCCGCATCATGGTTCCGTGGTCGCCACAGGAGGAGAAACGGTCGTCCTTTCCTGAGCGAGGACTTCAAAGCACCTCTTCTCGGCTCCAACATCAACGGTAAGACGGACTGAGTTGAAGGGAAAGGGCTCGTGCGACAATGGAGGACCCGCTGTAGCACAGGAACCTCCATGAAGGACCCAGGACGGGCAGTGAGGCCCATGGCGACCACACACAAAATCTGTATGTATATCAAACGTCATTCCTGCACATGTCATTATACATGGCGTATCAAACCGGCTTTTGGGACTCTAGAGACTGTAGGAAGAGGCCTGGGAAGCGGTCTCAGAGCCGAACTATAAGTCCGGAGCTTAAAGGGACAGCGCGGGTAGGCTCGAGAGGGAGTATCAGGTTGACAGGACAAGGGCCAAATGTTGCATACTAATATCACTTCCTTTTTCCTTGGTTCGATGAATTACGTTCAGGCGGAGGCCAAGACAGACCCCTTCGGATGCTGTTGTGTCAAGCATTTGCGACTTAATGGAGTTAATGGGATTTCCAATGCAAGAGACAGTAGCACACATTGCGCAGAGTTGTCACAACATTTCGAGTGGAAATCCAGATTGACCACGAGTATCGCGACGAGCAAGGCTAGAAATTCAACGCTGCTTTCAGGTGTACAAGATCCAAACCCGTCCTAAACCTCGCAGGAGTCTGTCTGCCTGTCTTACGTGTAGATCTCCTCGGTGAAGCCGTTCAGTGACAGCCCGGACTTGGCGATGTCGCTGACATCGACCAGGAAGTTGAGCGGCATCTCCACCAGGGTGCCCCTGATGCGCTGGAGCTGCTCCTTGACCTCCTGGACGCCGCCGGGGAACTCGCTCTTGACGACGTGGCCGTATGGGACCTTGGCCGGCTTCTCCTTGTCGTCCTCGTCGTCCTTCTTCTCCTCTCTTTCCTTGTCCTCATCCTCCTTTTCCTCGTCGTTGTCCTCCTCGGTGGCCTCGCCACGCTCAGCCGCCTCGCGCTTGAGGCGCTTCTTCTCTTCCTTCTCCTCCTTCTCCCTGATCTCCTTCTCCTCGTCCGAGCCGGGGATGATGAAGTACTTGCTGAAGAAGGAGTCGTAGTCGTCCCACGTGCGCACGACGTCGTTGGGCACGTTGTGGAAGACGCGGCTGAAGACCTCGGTGTTGGTGCGGGCCGTCTTGAGCCACAGCTGCTGGAAGTCGTCGCTGATGGGGTCCTCGACGAGCCGGTCGGCCTCGGAGCCCCAGTCGTAGTCGTTGGGCCCGCGGGTGACGGGGTGGAAGTTGGCGTCGGGCCGGTCCCAGCGCTGGTCGGGCAGAAGGCCCAGGTGCTTGCGGAACAGCTGGCGCCGCAGGCTGGCGGCGAACTTGGACGCCGTGAACTCCTCGCCGTTCATGCGCGAGCGCACGGGGGTCGGGTCCTCGATCACCACCGCGATCTCCGAGTCGTGCGTGCCCAGCTGCGACCGGTCGTTCAGGTTGGCCGACCCGCAGATGACGAGCCGGTCGTCGGCGATCAGCACCTTGGAGTGGATGTACAGCTCCTCCGACACGAACGCGTCGATCTCGGCCTCCGGGTCGCCCTCCCACGGGATCGAGTTCAGGTCTGGGCCCTGGTCCATGTACGCCGCCGAGATCGTGTCCCACGTGTTGTCGTCCTGGCGCTGCGCAGCCTCCTGGTAGCGGCGGTACTGGCTTCCCAGCCGGCCCTCGACGTGCTCGTCGCGGGAGTAGCCGTCGTACCCTGCCTCGACGTGGTCGTCGAACTCGCGGCGGGCGTCTTCGTACCGCACGCCTGACTCGTTCTGCGCGCGCTGCATGGTGGCGGAGGTGTTGAGACGGTCGTAGTTGCGCAGGTTGTAGAAGGAGATGTACTGGTCGGGATGCACAATGCCAGCCTGCGTCAGCTTCTCAATGATGGAGTGGCCGCCGCGGCTGATGGAGTTATACTGGAACTCCATGATGCCGCGGGTGCCCAGGGCGCCGTCGGACTTGAGGTCACCGGCGAAGGCGGGAACGGCCGGCATGGCGACGATGACGGAGAACTTCTCGCCGGCCTGGTGTGCGCGCAGAATACGGGCCACGATGGCCGCACCGATCTTGTTGTACACAGGCTTCTGCTCGTCGTCGGTGGCAGTGATGAAGAACTAAACCTAGTGTTAGGTCCTGCCCTCTGGTGGCACGAAGAGTATTGGGGGTGGGTGAGGGGGGGACTTACCTGGTTCTCCATGTAGACGAAATGCTCTGCCTTCGTGATGGCGTCGATGTAGGCGTTCGCAATGGAGTGCTCGGTAGGATGCCCGGAAGACCACGGGCAGCAGCTTCGGATCAGCTGGATGTGAGCCTCGTTGCCCTCGCTGCGTTGCTCCTGCGGCTCCTCGCCCCGAGCACGGCTCAGACCCCTGGTGAAATGGCGCTGGATGCCACCAAACACCTGGCCAGCCTCGTACTGCCCTTCCTCAAGAAGGCTCCGGCTGGGCGGGGCGTGGGAGACTTCACTGTCCTCGAGTCTCTGGTACTTCGTGTTGTCATCGGTGTTGTATTTTTGGCCCCAGATGTAGTTCCACCGGTCGGTGAAGTGGAGGTCCAAGCTCTTCACGATGGGCCCGACCAGCGAGATGCTGATATCCGACCAGCCCATCCTCGAGAACTTGGTGCGGTCAAGCTTGTTCTGCTCCCACTTGTCGACGCCCTCGAAGTCATAGATTCGTGCGTTGTTGTAGTCCTGGCCCGGGAAGATGATCCCGTCAACATTACCGGGGTGGTCGTCGGCGATGGGGTGAGAGTTGGTATCCCAACGACCGTAGCAGGCGTCGAGGCCACCCATGAAGGCAATGTTGTGGTCAATCAAGCAGAGCTTCTCGTGGTGGGCCCCAGAACAGCACGACATCATCGTGGGTACCGTAGAGGGTCTTCAGGCTGTCCCCGGACATCTTGGACAGGCTGAAAGCGCCGAGGGTCAGGTTGTGGAAGGCAGTGTTGATCTCAGCGTTAATGTCCTGCTTGCTGGGCATGTGATCCGGATGTCTGAAAACCTTGATGTTCTCGTGGAGTTCCTCCAGGGCGTGCTTGGTGTGCTCAGAGTTGCACGACAGGGCCTGGGCGACCTCCTTGTACACGATGACCCTAACCTGGACTCCTCGCTCTGCTGCGGCCTTGAGCATGTTGTCCAGGCGGTACTTGTTGTTCTTCGCCGGGGGCCGGCGCAGGAACAACTCTGGGGACAGCCACCAGTCCAGGATGAAGATGGACTCCTTCGCCTCTGCAAGTTTTCCGCCGTCAGTATGCCCTAGGCCATACTCCTCTCTCACTTCTCAGCTCCGGGCATAGGATGGAATCTCACCTTCGATGGCCTCAGAAAGCGCCCAGAAGTAAGCGCAGCCATCAACGTGCCACTTTACGTGGCCAGAGGTCTGGGGCGCAAAAGATGAGTAGCGGTTCGCCGCATGCTCGGAGTGGAGGTCAGCGTGGCACTCAGCTCCATCGTGCGTGTGCGAGTGCTTCTCCTCGTCGGAGCCGAAGACGCCGGAGAGGCCCTGCTCGAGTTTCTTGAAGATGCTCGACATTTTTGCTGCCACGAATTGTCAAGAGACTTTACCGGACGTGCGGGAGCAGAATAAGACGGAATGAGATGCACGACGTGTTTATAAACACGTCGGTCGATAAGACAATGTGGGGGCTGCCTCTCTTCTGTGAGGTCAGAGTCAGGGGTAGCTCCACGCAAAGCCACGATGCGGTCTCCACGATGCTTGACGGGCTGCAGACCCTGAAAACTTTCGATGCGTTCCCTGTCGGCCGAGAAACCAAGCGCTGGGTCCCCGACGAATGCTATAAGTGTGGTACAGCCCTCTGTCGACGAAAATAGGTAGGGTTTGAAGATGATACTTTCTTCGGTTTCTGAGGAATTGGCTGGATGCCTCTCTTTACGGCCCGTCTCAAAACGCCGACAGTGATCCGCGACAGCGGCGGAGGAGCTGAGGGGTCGAAACAGAGCTTCCCTGCAAAAACAGGGTCTTGGCCTGCATATCTTGGAACTCTTCACTGCCACTCAGGAGGAGCCACTCATCAGAGCGGTGTATTCAGGTCGGATCAGCTACAGCTTCTTACTTGAGAAATAACTCTCGTGATTGTGGAAGCTCTGCTGGCCTACGTGGCTCAGTCCAGAGAGTGACAATGACGATTGGATGAGACATCGCCGCTGCGCCGGGACAATCACTGCCCTGCAGGGTTTGGTCGGTTGCGAATTTGCACAGCTGTTTTGTCTGGCTTTGAGTGGCTGGGTCCTCTCGCCAGACCGCCGGGACCTGACGCGTTAGACGCAGTGGCATGGTCCGCGTAGCCCAGCTCTACAGCGTGACTGCTTCATGCTCTCTGCAACCGTTCTTAATCGCAACTGAGGCTAGCTGGACTATGGCGAAGCTTCGACGCCGGCACGACGGGCACCTGAAACAAGCCGTTATGCCGGTACACAGTAGGGCTGCAGTCATAGCGTCGCTTAATAAGTATGTACCAACAACTACTGCGGAGTTGCCCGAACCTGTAAGCAGCCAAGTATGAGCCAAGCAAGCTGTGAGCCTCAGACGACCTCACCTCGATGTAGTCAGAACATCCAGGCTGGAACAGTCATTCGTTCGAAAATGTCACACAGCGCTTCCTGCCAGATCCAAGAAATTTGGTGAGAACTAACCCTAAACACTTGACCAAAGCCGTTGGTATCATTTAAAAGTCGCGTTCCTGCCAAGCCCTCTGGCTGAGGATGATTCCAAAACGTGACTGTTTCTTACAGTCACACGTGGTTTGCCAGGTAGGCTACGCGACCTGGAAGTCCCGTCCATAGTTTCCGACTCGCCCAGTGAGACATGTGATCCAGTAGCACAGGTACAATATCCGAGACATCGGAACATACTGGCATATGCGTGGCATCGGCCGTGGAACAATAGAGAGCCGGGTTGCCACAAATGCATTGTATCCCCCCAGATCCAAGAACGCCAGCTGCGATTTTGGCGATGACATCTTGGTTGATCATCGCTTTCTCTCCAACCGGGTTCAAGTATTGTTCGACTTCACCACTCGTGGGGGTGTCATTTGTTCCCTTGAACGATAGGTAGCAGCTACACCTTCGCGATTGCTGTAGGCTATGCGTTGCTTGGATACTCTCCATGAGGCACAATGACCAGACGGTTATCGGTCAGTAATCAACTCCGTTGATCAATCAATATTCAGCAGGTGCCACACTTGCAACAGAGACGATTCCCCCGGTTGCATCCAGGTGCTGAAAATGCTGTTTTTTTTTTTATCTCAGATACTTTCAGGTAGCCGTTCACGGTTTGTGTCGACCAGTTGACGGTTGTCTGATGCCGGCGCTCTTGGTGATGAAATCAGGGTGGCAGCAAAGAAATCAATGTTGAAGTGACGCATCCTCCCGACTGCACTGTGCAAACTAGGAAAGTCCGTAATCTCCTGGGCAGTCGACCCACTGGTACACGAAGTCCTTTCAAGGTAGGTGCTGTAAGATCAAGTGCCTTAAAATGCAGGGGTCTGATGGTCCTGATCATTTGCTACACAGTGCTTGATGCTGTCAATTGAGCGGCGGAGAAGTTTCGACAGGTCCAAGAGTGTGTCATCTGCCGAGAACTGTTCGTGGCAAGCTGTGAGTTGATCATAGTCTCGTATCATCTTGGATACAAGTAACTCAGCTGGCACCGGCGACACTATTCGTCACTTGGGTCTTTCTGGATAATTTCATGACCAAAGACGGATGTCTTGAGTCCTCGTCGTGGAGGAAATCGGCGTCGTATAATAGTCTGTCTCTTCTCACAAGAAGAACTGTTGCTGTCGCTGCTATAATAGTCTGTCTCTTCTCACAAGAAGAACTGTTGCTGTCGCTGCCGAACTGCGCGTAATAGTGCTTGACGCCAAATGGCCTCTTACAATTGTGGGGAGACCCAGCCCATCCCTCTACGTTGCTCCTTTGGTGACATGTGAGCTACACGCCGTATAGACAGCAGGGACGGCTTGTGGAGCTCTAAGATCAGTGTCGAAGAGACAGATTATTCCAAGGCTATCACTTGTGTGAGCAAACGAGCGGCAAAGTCTTGTGCAATGTTGCTAATGTATCTCACCTCCTGGTTGGTTCCGTTTCTCGAGGTTTCCAGCACTGGAGCAACGCTTGTACTTACTTGAATTTCATGTTCGCACCAATCTCACAACTTTATAAGTCGATCGTCGATATCGAGGGGTACTTGTTCAGTCTTCTGCCGAGAAATCAAGCAAGGTATGGCCACGCTGGTGATCATCACACAAACATTCCGAGTGGAAAGCACAGGCGAAGCACCCATGCTGGCGTCTTCGAGCGGAGAAGATCCCACTGCGGCTGGCAAGCGAGATATCCGCGTCGTGTGCGTCGTGATTGGAGCCTCGTCCGACGCTAGCTAAGTGCTCCGGAAAGGTAGGTAGAGTCCATCTTCAGCTGCAGCTCTCCGGTGGCTGAAATCGTGCCACCAGTTTAAGCGACGCTGACAGCAGATTCCGTCATTGTGCTGCTGCCGGATGGACTTGTTCACAGGACTCTCGGAATGAAAACATACCGAATAGCCAAGTACAACGCAAAGAATCGATCTGTCATTCGGAAGAAAGCATACGGCCAAGTCATGGTAACCTCTTGTAACCGCTCTCAGCTGTGTGGTGCCAGGTGGATTTTGATATTCTGTTGAAAATGATTAGCCGTGGTCCATGGTTCGTGGCTGGCCTCTTGTCGTGAGTTTCATCTCTTCCGACGTCCAAGCATCAGTGGCCCTTCGGGGATCGTGTTGTTACGATCGAGCTACCTTGGAAAGAAGCGGCTTGCGCCACATGTACTGCCCTTTAAGTCGGCGACCACAGGAAGCAATCAAGGGGAAACCGGGCCAAAGACAGGCAGAAGTGGAAGCTCGGGTCACTCGGACAAGATGCCGGTGTGAGAAACCACCGGGCTTTGCCTAACGCTACGAGGCTCGGTCAGGCTGGTGATTTTCAGAGTCCCCAAGGCCTCCCCCCCCCCCGGTCAAAAAGATATTTTGGGCTGGCCGCTGGTGTCATAAAATCAAGACACTGGGTGATGTTGGATCCAGGTTTCACGACGGCGGAAGTGGTGTAGGGCCGTTGCATAAACAATCAAGATTCTCTTGGTGTCTGCACACCATCCAGAAAGATGACATTTTCTCACAGGTGAGGACCCCAAGTGGCGGCAGGAAGCGAAAATGTCGACGGATGCAACGTGCTGGCCACGGATCCAAGTTGCACCGCATAGGCGATGACGGGGACGGAGCCATGCGTGGGAGGGACATCGCCGTCTACCTGGGTATGAGGCACTGGAGCTGAAGTTGACGGGGCGTCTGGGTCGGAAGAGTTGCGTTTTGTTTTCAGGTCCATGGAACGTGTTAGGGAGCATGATGGTTGTTGAAACTTGTGTAACGAGGGGCATTGTTGACGCACTTGAGAGGGTGTGAAGTGTGTATTCCGATGCCTTCCTTCTTCAGTAGCTGAGTGCTTGCCCAGGTACTCTTGGGTAGGTACTGATACCTGAGTAGATTCTCAGGTAGGTAGGTGGGTACCTGCCTCCTACCTGCCTTCCTTATTTCCTCGTAGGTACCTATGCCGGCAGGTATTGATTGAGGTGGTTCGCCTACGTAACCTGGTAGGTTGTTGCAAGGTTCTAGAAGCTGTCATGCTCTGACCTGTAGCTGCGGTTGCTCATGCCAGGGATCTGTGGTGCGGGTTACCGCTACTGCGGCCACTTCTGAGCCAATTGCGCAGGAGCTGGGCGCTCTCAGCCTTGTTACCTTGACGGTGTACTGTGCAGGCGCCGACAGCTACCCCTGCCCGTGCCTGAGCAATCTGCGCCGTGGCTGCCGTTAGTAGCGATTGTCTCGTGCCGAGGTCCCTGCACTGTGGTAGTCTGATCAGCTCGTCGAGGCAGCTATGCCCCTGTCCATCCTGCCAGGTACGGTGCGGGCACGGGCAGAACGCACTAGACGGAGACGTCGATATCGTGTACTGCGCTGCAGCAGGGCTGTAGCCGTACATACCTGAACACTGTAGCTCATGGTACCTGCCGACTCGTGCTCCCCTCAATGCGCCCTCAGAAGGTGAACAGCAATTGTTGAACAGCATTGAACATCTTCATACGATCCTGAGCCGAGGTGTGCATCCTCCACCCCTTATTTTCTTCGTTTGCTGGCTTGCGTGCCCCTCTCCCTGTGCCATCCGCTTGACTATTTAGCCCTCGGCTTGGTCCTTCGTCTCCTGCTTCGGGATTCCCAGATCACTGTGTCTTCCTGTAGCAACAATCACTGGGGAATTTCTCTGAGCGCACGAGGCTCCTTTGCACCATACTACTCGGGTCATCTCCTCAAGTGCTCACGTCCATCCAGTGGCCTCACAGACGCCAGACAATTTAGAAAGAGGCCTTGCGCCCCGGCAAGACGAGACAACGCCACTCAGCACCCAATCGCCGCAACACCGGACCTCTGTCGCTGTCTTCTTGGCACTCGAGACCTCTCGGGCAGGTACCGACACAAGAGGCAGGGCTTCAAGAGGCCGCATGCCTCGACTGTCATCTTCTCAAAACAGATGTCCAACATGCCTGGCACTGCACAGGCCACGGTCTTCGACCCCGCCGCACACTCCCATCTGACGCCGTATCTGGCCGGCCTACACGCCCAATGCATTACTCGTGACCTCATGATCGGGAGCTTCCTCCCCCCGTTAACCAACGACAAGCTCCTCAACTGGTGGAAAGATCGGATCGCTGAGACCAAGTCAGGGGAGAGAGTCATCATCCTCTTGCTAAATGAGGCGGAGCCCGGGGCCAAGGTGAAGGGAGAAGATCTGGTTGGGGTCGCCATGCTCGCAACTCCACACTCAGAAACGAGTCCGTTTCGTGCCCGCGTCGAGAGTCTCCTCGTCGCCGCTAAGTACCGGGGGAAGGCCGGGTCCGTGACGTTGATGAACGCCGTGCATGGGCAAGCAACCCTGAAGGGCAAGACGCTTCTGGTGAGGATCCTGCGCCTTCCCTGACCACCCCGCGTTGTTACTATCACTGACTTTGAACTCGAGATGGCCGACGCGGAAAGCGGAAGTGTTGCCGAGAAAGTCTTCAAGAAGTTGGGATATGAAGAGATCGGAACGGTGCCCAACTACAGCCTCAATGCCTCTAGTGAGCTCAAAGATGGCGTCTTTCTCTACAAGACACTCAATACATAGGGCCAGACTTGAGAGATCATGGTGCAGGATCTCGAAGCAGTCAAGTCTATGCCCCCTTTTCTACCCTACCAGCTGTATGAAGGTGGCATCGGTGAATTTGAGAACATGGCCACGGAACGGAAGAAATTCCTCACTTGGGAAAGTTTGATGGGATGCAACAAAGGGGTCGGACTTGTGAGCCGCGATGAGAGTCAACTTGAGCTGAAGCCAACCTACAGGGATGCTCTATGACAGCTCTGTTATGGAGGTGGCTCAGGTCTTATCCATGTGCACATACGGACGTGGAAAAGGGCAGTCAGCGGGATGTGTCACCTGTATCACACCCAGCAGTGTGTTGTCTGGATATAGTCTTGAAGTGGCCCCGCCATCCCGGGTACATTTCAAGTATTTCATAATGTGCAGATTTAAAGACGAAACCTCACACGCCAAGCAGCGGTCCTGGTGCCCCGAGAAGTGCGACATTTGTCAACCAAGCTTTCTTTTCGCACGACCTCGCGCATATCGTATGATGGTCCTCTTTGGCTATATAGTTTCTGCCGACGACGTACCCCTATATTGCCTTGATGTTCCACAATGTGGCACATACGGACCCATAACTGACAATTGGAATTTACTCATCTAGTATAATACGTGTTACCTCAAAACTCTTATCGACTGTTTGTCAAACGCACAGTGCTTCCGCCATTCTCAGGCGAGTCAATTGGCCCAACACGTGATACTTCTACTATGAGCTTCAGAGAACTCACGCAGTCCAAGTCGTATGGTTGAGCATGTCTGCTGGGATTCCCCAGCTACTCTTCTTATTTCCTTTGCCGCCATGTAATAAATAACCTTTTGGGGCCATTGATGTTGGTCAGTTCATAAAATCTACCCAGGACGCCTCAGGCTCTCCTCAGGTGGTACAAGGTGCGCCGGATAGGCTTGTCCGATAATGAGAAAGCTGGTTCGCTTTATATTCTTTTTAACCCCGTTTGTGACGAACTTAACATTCATTTTGTTCAGAAAACTCGATTGGCTTCGTTGGCCGTCATGTAAGTCCGCTGGTGTGTCTTCAGCCATCTTGAATCCCATCGGACGGTCGGGGAGGGGTGCATCTACAAATCGATCCCAGTAACAGCCAGGCGAAACAAAGCCCCCTGTGCAGTATCGCTTCACATCATAGCAGGGCCTCTGTGCAACCGTTTTGACAGCATGTATGCAGAGACGCATTGACAATGCTATACGATTGAGTGGACGCATCAAAATGCTCGAGCATCCTCTCTCTCTCTCTCTCTCCGGCTGCCCGGGATGAAAGTAGTCCAGGGCAGCGGATGCCGGCTGCCCATGTGCCCGCCAGTTCATCCCAGCTCCGGAGATAGAGGATTCGGCCTAGGCCTGAACTGCTGCCAAGGTACGGCCCTGGAATGCGCGCTAGAAGGGATCCATCCCGCCGCCCTGGGATCTCTGCTGATTGCCAATTGACCTGTCAGAGGTGAGAGCGCGAGCAGGTGGGCCAGTTGGTGCAGGCGCATCCGGCTCGCGTTGCCACCCCGGGCACGTGGTGATCTTCTCGCCCTTTCGCCCATCGCCAACTTCCTCTTTGGGTGCCCCGGTCCGGAGCAAAGCAAGCCTCGCTCGCCTCTAGAATGCTGGCTTCTTCCGAGACCCATTTTGAACGGGGGCGATAGGCGCTCCCGGATGCTACGTTGAGATAGCTGAAAGATGTCTAATATTTAAAAGAAAATGGTCTGCCCCGCTATTTCTGACCGTGGGCCTGCCTGTACACGGTTTTCCGGCTTGATGATTTTGTGACCTGACAGCATGCATCGCTTTGTGTTGTCCTCAGTTGCGCTCGCTACTGTCGTGCGGCAGGCTTCGGCTTCCGCCCCAGTCTTCAGCCGCGGTCTCTACAACGAGAGCACTGCCAACCACACTTGCCAACTATGTAAGATTCTCGAGGGGGAATTGATGGGGGAGAGAACTTCATGTGGCTGATCTACTCACCAGACGACCCCATCCTGTCATGCTCGGTTGGTGCCCAGGCCAGCCTCACCGATTCATGCTGTACAGAGACCTTCGGCGGTCTTGTCCTCGCCACGCAGTTCTGGGACGTCTACACCGGCTTTGAGTCCCAGGGACAAGTCCTCCCAGCCGACTCGTGGACCCTGCACGGCCTATGGCCAGACTTCTGCAACGGGTCATACACACAGTACTGCGACCTGTCCCGGCAGTACGACCCGAAGCCCTCGCCCAACACGACGACAGGGACCCCGAGCGGCACGCCGGTCGTCCCCTACACGGGGCCGGACATCGGCACCTTCGTGGAGCCCTTCGGCCGGCACGACCTGCTGGCCTACATGAACAAGTACTGGGTCGCGCAGGGCCAGCCGAACGGCGACTTCTGGGGCCACGAGTTCTCCAAGCACGCGACCTGCTACTCGACCTTTGACGTCGAGTGCTACGGCCCGCAGTACGTCCAGCACGAGGAGGTCGTCGACTTCTTCGCCACCGCCGTTGAATACTTCCGCGGCCTGCCCACGTGGGACTGGCTCGAGGCCGCGGGCATCACGCCCAGCAACACCACCACGTATGACCTGGCCGATATCCAGTCGGCGCTCGCGGGGGCCTTTGGCGAGGTGCCATACATTGGTTGCTCGGGCAAGCGGTTTAACGCCACCGAGGCCGGAGCCGGCAGCTTGGACAATGGGTATACACAGTTGAGTGAGATTTGGTACTGTGAGTATTGAGAAAGACCAGAGAACTGCCCAGACTGGGAGCACCGCGCTGATTTTGATTTGTTTTTAGATCACCATGTTAATGGCAGGCCGCAAGACTACGACGCCGTCCCCGTGGCTGCAAACGCGACCGGTGGAAGTCTGGGCAACTGTGCCTCAACGGCCGGGGCTATCCATTACTACGAGCGTGCGGCTGGCTCAGAGGCATGAGGGGGGACCAGCTGAAGGCCATGGCCCTCTAGACATCTCGTTATGCTGCCAGATGGGTATCAACGGCGTCCTCGCCTTTTGCATTCTCCACGGTAATATACATAATAGTAGCAATCTGCGAGCACATGAAAAGTCCCGCCGAAAGGGCAGTGACAGTCGACTTAGTGGCTTGCGCAAGACAAGCCCGCAGTGTGCGCGGGCGAGTCGTTGTATGTAGAAAATGCAAGTTATCGGACCTGCACAAGCAATTCTGAGTGCTCACAGCACGGAATGTTATACTTGTGATGGGTCCTCCCACAGCGACTCGCCCAAGTTGTTCGCGGGAAGGAAAGGAATAATCAGACAAGCTCCTACTCGTCATCTCCGAGTTCTTCCACCCGTGGAGCCACGTAAGATCTCTGCTGTGGCTGGCCGCCTCCCGTTTCGATCTGGGTCTCAGTGGCGGTCGTTGTCGCACTGGCCGGCATCGGCTGGCCGGTGGCAGCAGCAAAAGATGACGATGCCTGCGGGTTCACACTACCTCCACTAACAGATGACTTGGTCCTCTTCTTCTTCTTCGCGGTCTGTGTCGCAAGTTGGTCAGCGGGAACATCACTGCATCAGTGCGCTCGAGTTGACTTACCTCGTGCCAAGCCCAGACGGGTTTGAATGAATCGACGAACGAGACGTCCTCCCATAGGTTCGGAAACAGCCATAGTCCAGGAGAGACGACAAAGTAGGTGATGCAGAAGAGGATGACACGGAATATGGCCATGAGGAAGAACAGTCCCAGCAGACACAAGAAACCCCAGCTCAGATAGTAAACGCCTTGGCGCATCTTGAGTGGCCACAGCGGGTAGAGGACAATGATGAAAATGGCGATGAGGGCAAGGGCGGCATAGACCTTGCGCTTGATCTGACTTCCCTCGTACATCCAAACGTAGTACATGTCGTCGCCAGCGTCCTGTTGTGGCACAATGCGCACTGTCCAAAGACCCTTGACACGCTTTGTTCGCTTGGGAGGGTGGGCGTGACCGGCGTGGGGATCGGATTTCTCGACTCGGAGGGCCAGCATGGACATGGGCAGGAGCTTGAAGGCATTCTCGAGAGATGGTCGGTCGGTGATCTCGGGTAGCGCAGGGTTCTTCTTGCGTGCCTTCTCATATGCTGGGGACTGCAACGCTCGAAGGGCTCTCTTCACTGTTCCGGTTGTCAGAACCAAGTGAACCGAAGCGGTGCCAGAAACATGGGGTACAAACCTCTGAACATGTCCTTGCGCTCGCCATTCAAAATACAAGTACGGAGCTTGAGGTCCTGGCTGCGCAGGAAGTTGGCCATGGCGATGGCGACAGGGTTGGGAGGCCCCGGGGTGATGGGCTGCGGTTGGCCGGCGGGACGACCTTGCATCTGTTGAGGCGGGCCCTGGGGCTGTCCCTGAGGCTGTCCCTGACCTTGCTGCTGGCCCTGCTGCTGCGGTCCACCTGCTTGCTGCTGCTGCTGCTGTCTTGCGAGCATCTGGGCTCGCATTGCCTGTTGCTGCTGCTGCATGCGCTGGACGAACTCGGGAACGGACAGGCCGGCTTTCTCGGCTTCCTGGGCGACTCTCTGGTTCATCTGCTGCTGGAATTGCCTGATGACAGCCATCTGCTCCGGGGTGGGCGGCACGCCAGGTTGTAGAGGAGGCACTCCTGGTGGCATGGGTGGCACCGGAATAGCTCCAGGAGGAGGCATGCCACCTGGTGGTGGCGCGTTGGGGTTCTGCATCGTGTGTGGTTCGATTGCTGTGTGTGATTGACGGTAAAGCAGGAAATGCTCAAGGCGATGAGAGAATGGAAGGGGGACGGTGGTGTCCTTTGGCAGTCAAAACTAAGTGAATGGTTGCGAGTGTGAGAGCGAGTCCAGGCACTACACCGTGATCTTCGCAGACTGGAGATGCAAGCCGAACAACAAGCTGTCCTGATGGATGTCCGTGTCTTGGCGCTTTTTTCGAACAGCAAGCTGTTCACTTCAACTTGCCGGGGCCGGCCCGTCAGGATGCATCTCTAGTCGGGTACCGATGTATCTTCCTTGTCTCCCCTTAGTCAGCAAATGCTCCGAAGATGCTCTCGTCTCATCAACGATGTAGGTCAGCAGCAGGTCCGTCGATCGGTCCGTCGGTCATTTCTCACGAAAGCGCCTTCGAAGTGTGCTTTGAAATACGCATTTATTACAACACGTCGTTCTCGCACCAGCTCACTCACACCTGTCTCTGAGCGCATTTTACCTGCATGCGATGTCCAAGCCTGCATCCGAGTCAGTCCGCACGCGGTAGCGTACTGCATAACAGTGAAAAAAAAACATCGCCTCCTGCTTTGCTTCATGCTTCGCTGACTTGATTCTATCTCTGGCTCCGCCACCCCGTTTACTGCGGCATTGGGAACTTCGCACTGCTGGGATACTGCCCGAGACGAAGACGGTCCCTTCTTCCGTCTCCGCGCTCAGCTAAATCAGCATTGCGATCCATGTGGTCACAGACGCGGGCACGGCTGCAGCAAGTCCCAAGGAGGACCGAGAGGTGACCTCACTCTCCGCGGGAGACCACACCACAGGTCATAGAAAGTCATCCCACAGGAGTCTACCCAAATCAGGACATCCCACCAGGTCATCCTACTGAAAGCGCTTCGATGTCATGTTGGTAATCTCAGCCGTTGGCGTCGGGCGCCTCCCGCAGGCTGTGCCCAAGACAGACTGGCAAGGAGGCGTTTTCCTTTGTCCGCACGACACCACGGCCCAGTTCGTACCAGAATTCGGGTCAAATCTTGTGACAGAGATGACGCTCCTCGCCACTTTTCGAGACCTTCAGAGACGCGGCGCATGACAAGCTCACACCTTCTTTGTGGGTGTTTGCCCGGCCACTCTTGCGGCCTCCCTAGGTACTTCGTAGGCAACCCGGTGGCACCAAGTCGCCTATTCTTAGAAGAGAGAGGCACGGTTGAAATTGCTTTGCCTCCATGACAAGTGACCGCTCGGCGAATCAAAGGCCCGCATTGCCCGGCCTCGACGCAAGGCGCTGGGCTGGCACATCGTGTTGCTCATCTGCGAAATGGGCTAGACGCCTGCTCATTTGTGCCACCGTGCCTTGGGTCATGTATTTGTTGAATATTATCCGACCGTTTGTTGTCGAACATGTCACGGCGCGATGTTGTGGGATGGTCACCCGCGAAACAGGTAGCAGCCCAGCCAATTCCAGGCCGTGCAAGCCGCCCAATCCAACCGCGCAATCTATGCTTGTTTTGATGTTGCTCTTTTCTCTGTAACCGGCGCACGTTGCCGACGCGGGCCGTTGCTTCTTGTGTGGAGTGCAGTAAGCAGCATGCTCCCACACGAGCTGCCATTTCGCGGTGGCAACGGATGGGATTGGCAGGACGACACCACCACCCACCCACCGAATCCCAGTACCCGTTCGCTCGCCTGCTCGCTCGTGAAGCGGCGCGGCCGCCGTGTTGGGCCGCCCTTCATCTGCACCAGATGAGACGGTGTGCCTGGCTTCAAGGCTGGCCAACTGGGCCTGCGACACGGTTTCAGCAAAGAATAGCAACAGCTACCAATGAGCTACACGCCGCATGGTCGAGGAAACTGAGGCCCTGCCGGGGGAAATGAAGCTGCATGCCCCCTCGCGTCTGCCCTTCGTCTTCCTCACGGTCTGCTTTTGGTCAACAAGCCTTCCTGTGGCCTTCCCTTTTTGTCATGGGGTGTGTCCCTAGAATGCCACGAATCCAATGCCCCAGGTGCCCCATTGTTCTCACCCAATCTTGGGGTCCCACGAGCCAATCTTTTCGGAGTTTTGTGGCGACGCTGGAGGAAGCTAGCACCCCCGGTGCATAGCTCCCAGGATCCCAAACGTTAGCCCGCGACCTGGCCATCGACGCCTTGGACCTTTCCTCTGCGACAGTCTGCCAGGTCCGACAGGATGGCTACCTATTGGAGAGCCTTCCCAGCTCTGCAGGACAATCGATAGGGTCAGGCCTCGTGGTACAGATGCTGGTGGGCCTTGCAGGCTCAGTCTGCTCGTGTGCTCTGAGTACCAGCCCTAACGTTCGGGGATCCCTAGGAGCTGCGGTTGAGGGTGGTCACTAAACCAAGGCATTCTAAGACATCGACTCGCTCTACTTGATTGTTCTTCTAACACAACTGGGCCCCGGTAGAAGCAGGGGTGTAGCGCCAGCCATCCTGACCCTGGCCGGTAGCCGCCGACTGGTCCTCGGCCAATCCAGCACGGCCTATCAAATGGCCCAAACTGAGACCTCTCCATCCACGACTCCTGCTCTCGTCCACACAGTCAGCGTGGCCCGGCGTGCCTCAGCCCAGAGCTGGACCTACCTTGTGTAGTCGGAGGGTGTGCACAATGGGCGTGCACAATGGGCGCTGCGCTGCGCTGCGCTGCGCTGCCCGTGGGTCTCTGGAGGAAGGTGATGAGGCCCGTCCGGGTCACGCAGGTAGGCCGGCAATACTAAAGAATAAGGTATGCCACCTGAGTTCCCAGGTTTCTCCGTTTTCCCTTATGTTGGAGTCGCCGCCCGATCTCGTCAGATCTGGCCATGCGGAACGTTCGTTCTTTGTTTCCCTCATACCCGTAATAACTAGTTCATTTCTCTCCCTCCTGTCTTTTGCTCTGTTTCGAATGCCCTCAGTTCGCTGGTCGTTCTTCACTCAGCCTGCTACCTTCCTACCACAAGTGGCCGGCATGAGGGGGTTTTCTGTATAATCACCATAAACATGGGTTCCAGTGGCGTGCAAGCCTCACATGGTTGGCTGGATACCATGAAGGCTTTGCTCCTCCCATGCTTCGACGGCAAGGACCCTCGAAGTGAGTCTGGCTCTGGTGTGTACCACATCCATCCCATGGACGATACTCTCCCGAGGCATCAAGTGCTGAACCGACAAGACCCACCAGAAGAGAAATACTACCAGGTCTTCTATGACCAACCCGCACCAATGCCGCCGCCCCGCGCGCAAAGACGGCGGGCGTCATCCATGGGAAAAGTGCGGAAGGAGAGCAAGAGGGCCGCAGCGAAGCAAGCAGATATGGGCTGGATCGACCGGAATTTTCGCTCTGGCAAGAGGAAAGCGCCTCGACCCCTGATATCGGACCCCTTCAACTTCCAGCACACCGGGACGGGAGCTGTGAGCTTCATGACCTCGGCGGCAGACTTGCCTCGATCCGCTCCAGCGTTCCGGCCCCTCGAGCTGAGCATCTACCAATCAAACGACCAAATATCACCCTTGATGCCATATTTCACACGTGCTGCAGCCACTCCCTCACCACCTCCGCGGGCTCTCACCAGGGAGACCTTTGACGAAGATGCTAGCACACTCGCCCACTCAAGGAGCTACTCGTCACAGTCTTTCCACATACCAAGACGTCCTCTGAACGATGTGGCGTCATTCACAACTGGGACTACCAGCAGCACCGGAGACAGTCCTCCGAGGATACCACCACGTGCTCGCACGCGACCCCGAGCCTATACCTCGCCGAGTGTGGAAGCCATCGTGGAGCGTATCGCAGGCGCAATGATCGAGAAAGAGAGGCTGGAGGAGGAGATCGAGTCGGTCAAGGAGCGACAGAGCTTCTGCCTAAGCCGGCCGGGCTCTGTATATGGCCTGCCTGGTGAGTAGCCCAAAATGCCACCGATTGTCGCATTAGTATTTGATCAGACACTTACGTTGCTGCAGAAGATGAAGAAGAGCCCATGCCTCCCGTCCCGCTGATGCCACCTTCCGGGCCGTCATTTGCGGAACGCCTCAGCATCGACCGCCCTCGAACCGCACCCTCGACGCGCTCTACATTTGAAATCAGTGCTTTCCCTCCTCCCCCACCACCACAAGAACAGTATCGCACTCAAAGTATCGACGAATCAAGAGCTCAGCATGCTCCGCCCTCGGCGCCGCCCAGGCCTGTGGCCGCGTCCGCATTCAACTCCCATCCTCCATGGCGCAGCCCCAAGATCATTGACAACAGCGTCGACATAGGTGTGCCCCTCGCACCACCTCTACCTCTGATCCTCAGGCCTCCACTGCGGAAGAAGAAATCGTTCTCGCGTGTCGAGCTGGCTGTTCCCCGCTGGCGTGGAAGACCGCGAACAAGTCCCGTCCCCTCAGCACAGGCGGGACGTCTCACTCGACAGCGTGACCAACGCACCACGCGCACTTACTGATCGCGAAGGCTTCTACCAGACCCTGCCGCCATCCGCCGTCTTCTCCGGACGGAGGAGCAGCTTTGGCTCCATGTCCGACATCACACGAAGCCAGACGCACTCGGTGTACTCGACCGACGAAGACCCCTTCGTCGGCCCTGGGACTGGCACAGCCACATCCAACTGGAGTCCTGGGAGTACGCCCCCTGAGCACGCAAGGAGGAAGGACAGCTCGTCCACTTCTGGAAACATGAGTGGGCACTCGGCGAGCTTGAGCCTGACGCGAACTGGGACTTTTGGTAGTCGCGATAGGCCCGTCGACGGAGTGGCGCTACCAGGCCCACGACCTACGTCAGTCGGTGTTGCGTTCTGAAGGCTCCGTAACACAGTGAAACAGAAATTCAACGAAGAAACGAAAAAAAAAATAAAAGAAGACAGGGCGAATGTTGAGAATGCGACGTCGCAAAATTGGTACAGGGTCTAATATGATTATGGGTGGGCCCGGCAGGTTTGGAATTCAAGACCCAGGAAGGCAATGGGCCGGTTAAAGGCGCGGATGTGAGAGCATCATGGTTGGTCCTTGAGGTCTGCAAATCGCAGCCACTCGCGAAGGGGAAGCTTCTCGATCGAAGCCCCTTGATTTACGTCGTTTGTCTTCATGGCTGGCCAGCGCTGTTACTGTTGCTTGTTGTCACCGCTGCTGGTTGCAGCTTGCTGTTGAAGCTACCTTCTAGATACCATGGATACCAAGTACGAATTGACATTGTCCATTAGGACCGCCATCTACCTTGACTGTCTTCCATGCCTGCTTGTTTCCGTGACAGTATCGTATTCAGGGTTCCCTCGTAGGATCGGCTGAACCGCCAAAGCGGGAGATCTGCCGGAAGCGAACCTTAACGTAACGCCTAATTATAGGCGAGCACAGCGGAGGCTTAGCAGTCAAATTCCATGGTTTGCTCAAGTGCGATCTTCATTGGATAGCACGGTGTTCATGCGCGGTACCAGAATATTACGTAGATGGGGAGGCTTCTCAGCTGATGAAACAACCCGTTTCCTGGGCGGGAAATGCTTATCGGCCCGCCGACCTGGAATGTCCATCTTCGAGGTGACCTGGACTGACCGGACTGACGTGTTGCGAGAGACCTAGCTAGGTAGCGACCATACAGTGGACCCCCGCGCAATTAATTTCTCACAAATGCTCAACCGCAAGGTCACGGCGCACGTGGGCACGAGCATTGGCCGAGTCGCATCAACCCGCGAATCCGACCCTACCACTTCCGTCACCGAGGGATCCCCAGACAGCTCCGACCATTTCTGTCCAGTGCCCTCTGCGACTCACACAATCGACCACCCTTCTCCCTCTGATTGGGAAGGTAGCAACACGGTGGAATGCCGTAGCTGCATCTCCACCCCCCACCCACTAGCAGAGAGGACCCGGCATCGTCACTTCGCCCCTGGACCAGGGATGACCGAGAGCACGTGCGGCGCGGGAATAGGGGACCGATAGCCATGGGTCTCTGGGACAGCCTGAAGGACACGGCCAATATGGCGCGTGGCAGATATAAGTACAGCCCCCTCGCGAACCGCAACCCAGCGAGGGAGGCCCAGCAGGCCCTCGGCTTCTGGTCAAACCGCCATCGGACAGTCTTGAAGTGCACAATGGCCGCCCTGGCACTCCTTGTGTTCTACCACCTGGCCACCGCCACTGCGTGAGTACCCACCGGCCCATCATGTCTCCATCGCTCCTTGGGACCTGTTCATGCGTGCTAACAGCATACTCCAGGCGCGTGGTGAGGGCCGTCAACGAGTCCAGCTGCGATACCGTCGCCAACGGCTTCCAGTGCTCACCTGAGATCTCTCAGTTCTGGGGCCAGTACAGCCCCTACTTCGCCGTGCCCTCGGAGATAGACAACGCCGTCCCAGAGCAGTGCACCCTCACTTTCGTCCAGATCCTCAGCCGGCACGGAGCGCGTGACCCCACGTCCAGCAAGACGGCCGTGTACAACTCGACGATCCAGCGCATCCAGAGCTCCGTGTCCAGCTACGGCGCTGGCTATGAGTTCATCAAGGACTATGTCTACACCCTGGGCGCGGACCAGCTCACGACTTTTGGCCAGCAGGAGCTGATCAACTCGGGGACCAAGTTCTACGAGCGATACGGGGCCCTGACGCGGGACGAGATCCCATTTTTCCGGTCCTCGGACCAGGACAGGGTCGTCGAGTCCGCGCAGAACTGGACCCAGGGGTTCCACCAGGCCCGGCTGGCGGATGCGAAGGCCGACGGGTCCGACAGCTTCCCTTACGATATCGTGACGATTTCCGAGGAGGACGGGATGAACAACACCCTCAACCACGAGCTGTGCACGGCATTTGAGGATGGCCCGGTTTCCGAGATCAAGGACAACGCGAAGAGCATTTGGATGGACGTGTTCACGCGCACATCACGGCCCGGCTGAACGCGAACCTGCCCGGCGCGAACCTCTCGGCCATGGACACGATATCCATGATGGACCTGTGCCCGTTCAATACGGTCGCGGACGTCAACGGCAAGCTGTCCGACTTCTGCGGGCTCTTCACGGCGGACGAGTGGAAGAGCTACGACTACCTGCAGACGCTGGACAAGTGGTACGGCTACTCGAACGGCAACCCGCTGGGGCCGACGCAGGGCGTGGGCTTCACCAACGAGCTCATCGCGCGGCTGACGGGCCAGCCCGTGGTCGACAGCACGTCCACCAACGGCACGCTGGACGGCAGCGCCGCGACGTTCCCGCTCAACAGGACGCTCTACGCCGACTTCAGCCACGACAACGACATGACGGCGATATACTCGGCGCTGGGCCTGTACAACGCCACGGCGCAGCTGTCCAACACGACGCGCCAGGCCGCGGGCCAGGCCGGGGGCTACGCGGCGTCGTGGACGGTCCCCTTCGCGGCGCGCATGTACGTCGAGAAGATGACGTGCCAGGACGCCGGCGCCGAGGAGCTCGTCCGGGTCCTGGTCAACGACCGGGTCACGCCCCTGCAGGGCTGTGGCGCCGACGAGCTCGGGCGGTGCACGCTGGGCAAGTTCGTCGACAGCCTGAGCTTCGCGAGGAGTGGTGGGGACTGGGCCTCCTGCTTTGCGTAGCCAAGGCACTTGCATAGTATGGCGCAGCGTGCACGTTTCTATTGTACAAATACTGCATATATTGAGGCATTTTGATGAGAAATGAGACGCGGTCTTGTTATATTAAAGAGACTTCAATCACGCTCTTGCTCAACCTGAAATGATCTCTTCACAGTCTCTTCCCTGTGGAGTCGGACTCGTGTGACTTGAATCTTGGCTTGACTCGTGTGAGAAATGTTGGTGATCCATCCCCAAGTTGCTCAAGTAGATAACCTGCTGGGAACCAGCAACTCGGGCGAGGCCACGTGGGGACGATTTTCCCAATGAAGGGCCAATGTCTTCGATACTGGTCGTCTCCTGGGGACTCTATCGATGATCCTTACTAATTAAACTAGCTATACTTTGTTTGGGAGGTTAAATTCAGGATAGTTGCGACATGTGTGGGTCAGCGTTTTCCTAAAGCGCTTCCCTCACCTTTCGTAACTAATATTCCTCAAAGGAAGAGTAGAGTTACTGCCATCAGAAATAAGCTGGGGGAAGCATGCCGTCATGGTAGTAAGTGGATAGTCGGTCTGGACAACATCCACACATCGTCAGGGCCATGCGGTGCTCACAGCCATTCTTGTGCAGCTGGAGAGGCAGTGAGGGCTGGCACCATAAATCAAGTGCTTGGGTTTCTTAGCGGAAGCTTGGGCCAGTGGGTTGCCGGTGCTCAGCCCACCCAGGTGGGCCTCAGGAAACCTTGGTACCGCGGTAAGGCGCCGTTGAGGTCACAGCCTCTCAGGTGCTCCGGACCCCAGACCCAGCCTAATGGCACCCAAAAGCAGGCGGCCGAGCGAGCGAATGGAGTGATTGAGCGACGGGAGTGGTCGCTCCCCAAGCGAGCTGCTCGGTGACGGAGCTTCTGCGGCACGACCAGCGTCACACCTTCTCAGCTTCGCCCAGGGATTTCCCCTTGCGTGAGCACCTGTCCAACCCGACTCTTTTTCAGCAGCAACGATCCGTCTGCCAAACATTTCCCCGGATCTTACCTACCTTACCGAAGGAGGAATCTCACGCGACAGAACAAAAGCACAACTCGCATCAAATGTCAGCTGTGCATCCCGAGGCCGACATCAACCAGTCGATCGCATCTACCTGAATAGGCGCAATCCCCCGCCTCGCTCCCCATCTCGCGGCTCGACGACTGCTTCAGCTGTTCGTGCTGCACTTCTTTTGACCACCATAAGCGCCAAGTCCGCCTTGCGACGAGACCTGAGGACGCCACGACGTCAAGACAACCAATATGGTCGGGACGGCTGGGGCGATCATTATCACGATAGTCGTGCTCGCTGTCGTCGGCGGTGTCGGATGGGTCTTCTACAGCAGGCTGCAGGCTAAGAAGCTTGGGGTACGTCGTCGCATTCGTAGCAGCATCACTTACTCACCCTTCCTGCCATTGTCGCCCTCCACGTGTTATGCAATGGCGCAACGCTGACCACGACATCTACACAGCTTCCTCCTCCATCCCTGACCTCCTTCCTACCTTTCGTCCACAAATCCGACCCGTCCCCCTACGGGCCCCCGGCTCCGGCACCAGGAGGCGTCTCTGGGTGGTTCAACGACCAGATCCGCAAATTCAAGAACCGCAACAACCGCAGCGCCGCCGGCGCATACGAGGGCGCCGGCTCAGCACCAACACGCCGTGGCTTCGGCCCGCTCGATCCGGACGAGGCCTGGGACTCGCGCGTCGGCAACGAGGCGGACCACTACGGGCCGGGAGGCTACTACGAGGAGCAGGAGCTGGGGCTGCACCAGCCAGGCCCCGGCCGGCCGTCACACCATGACGAGAACACCGCCTACCGGGGTGCCAGCGAGCCCGAGAGCTACTCGATGAACCTGGCTGCCACGCCGCGGGGGTTTGACGGAGACAGGGGCAGGACGCTCAGCAGGGACGGACGGAACCCATTTGACGATGACGCCGCTGAACCGTCCAACATCAGCTTGAGAGGAGTTTCCCCAAGGCCGATGGAGGGCGAGCGTCGTGATGATAACGCCAGTGAGAGGAGGAGTATTTTCCGGGAGAACGTTTGAATGTGTTCGTCACCGAGGGCTGATCGCGGGCCCGGAAGGGCGGTAGCAAAGATGGCGCAGTAACTATGTCAGGCTTGAAAGCGAGACTTGACCGAAGCAAGGAGGCAAGGATATACAACATCGATTACAGGACGCTGAGGCGGGCTCGCCAAAGGCCTGAAGAGGCATCGATCGGCCCTGCAACGCTGGTGTGTGGGGAGGGGGACTCTTCATGGACCTGTAACGAGTACACGATCATGGTTAGGATACGCGGAGCGGGAAGTGGACTAGGGGGGTTCGGAGACATGGGTTTTCTATACATGTTCACGACTGATTGATTTGTCTACGCAAAAGTTGGCATGCTCGTTGGCTGTTTGACACTCAAGGTTCCAAGACCATTCTTTCTGATTGCAAGGCCGTTGTTATTCCTAGACACAGGATGCCTATCCAAATCCTCGCATATAACCGTCCATCCAGCTGCGCATATCCAGGGTCAAATGAGCCAAGTGCCCATGCAACACCATCATCCATGCCTATGCCAACCCTGAAATCCGCCAGGACGGATCGCAGTGAATGCTTGGCATCTGATAAAGCCAAGGGTCCTCCCCCACGATGCTTATGCTATGCGTGGGGACTTCTCAACCCCCCTCAGTGGGCCCACTGACGTTATAGCAGCCGAGCCCCTCCATATAACGCGCCTCCATGCCCCTCCACAACTTCCTCCCTGTCCACATTCACGAGATGGCGTTACTACCAGGTCCACGCTGCAACCACAAGACAAGGCCGCCTTGACAGGATTAAATCACTAATCAAGATGGCGGACATCAACCTGCAAAAGATCCACGATGATCTCGTGGCCATCGCCTACGAGGCGGGAGCTATGATAATGGCGGCCAACCCGAACAGCATCTCGACCGGCACGAAGCTGAATTGTAAGACCACAATCCCACCCCTCCCCGCTTTCACGACTGCTCAATAAAAGAGTCTCAACTAATTTCCCTCCTCTCGCCCATAGCTGTCGACATCGTGACCGAGACCGACCAGGCCGTCGAGAAACACGTCACCACGCCTCAAGACCTTGTACCCGACGTTCCTCTTCGTCGGCGAGGAGACATACGTCGCGGGCGAGACCAAGATCACCGACGAGCCAACCTTCATCGTCGACCCAATCGACGGCACAACGAACTTCATCCACGGGTTTCCCAATGCGTGCATCTCCCTCGGCTTCGCGGTGAGCCGCAAACCCAGCGTCGGAGTCGTCTACAACCCCTTCCAGGACCTCCTGTACACAGGCATCGCGGGCAAGGGCGCCTACGCGCAGCGCAACGCCTCGCTGGCCGCAAGGGGCATCCTCAAGGACGGCGGCGAGGGCTGCGAGCGGGTGCGGCTCCCGGCGTCGGGCAGGGGCGACGGGAAGAAGGCCCCCCCGCTGGGCGACCTCTCGACGGCGCTCGTGGCGGCCGAGTGGGGGTCCAGCCGCGACGGGCCCAACTTCGACGTCAAGGTCGAGACGTTCCGCAAGCTCGCTGCCAGCAAGGAGACGGGCGGTGCCATGGTCCACTCGCTGCGCAACCTGGGCTCCGCGGCGCTCAACCTCTGTGCCGTTGCCGAGGGGGCCCTGGATCTGTACTGGGAGGGCGGGTGCTACGCCTGGGACGTCTGCGCGGGCTGGTGCATCCTCGCCGAGGCGGGCGGCATCGTTGCGAGTGGCAACCCCGGGGACTGGGACCCGCCGCTGGACTCGAGGGTCTATCTCGCCGTGAGGGGTGCGCCTAGCGGCCAGAAGGAGATCGTGGAGGAGGTGTGGAAGGTGATTGGCGATGGGAAGATGGAGTACAAGCATTAGACATTACCTGCATAGAAGGTGTGTCTTTGGGCTGTGTGCTTGACTACAAGACTATAGACCAATCATATAGACATGCGTTTGAGCCTTCATTTGACATGCAATCGTGCACTCGTAATGCTCTATCCGGTGGGACTCAAATACTGGGAAGTAATTCGTCAATTTTCTGGAGGCAGGCAGTGGCAAGCAAACTCACCTGGGCAGTTTCCAGGCTCCAGGGCGGGCTTGGTTTTAGCACCTTTTAGATCCAAGTTTCTTCTACATCAGGCATTCAAGAGTGGCCAAGTGCCGGTCCTGTAATCCTCCAGAACTTGGTTGTAGCAGAGCCGCCCTTCAGCCTAGTCGTGATCGTCGGGCACTTGAGGAGAGAAAGACACATAAGTGTATGGGCTTGAGGGGCCAGCGACTCGCATGTGGTTTGATTTTTTAAGTACCGAAGTCTCTGAATCAAATGGCAACAAATAGTAGGATTCCTGAAGTCGGCAGTTTGATGCGGCGAAAAAAGCGCGGGAGATTCCCCAGCTAGATGTAAAAAGAATTTTTTTTAAAAAAAAAAAAAACCAGAAAAAAAAAAAAGAAAACCAGAACAAAATTTTTACAATTACTTGCTGTAATTGTCCACATTTGCCTCAAGACTAAGCGTCTTGCCAGCCAGATACAATAGACAGAACAAACTTTGTCTAATTACTTTCCGTAATTGTCTATATTTATCTTAAAACTGAGCGTCTTGTGGAAATGCAGCATTGTTTCGGAACCGAAATTCACGTAAACAGCACAACTTTTCTCGCGTTCAGGCAACCGGCGAGGCGCACAAGCGTGAAACCACGTAGCACATCCTATTACTGATCTAATAGCAAGTGTTCAGTGGGTGCGGATTGGGCCGGTTGTTGAGGACAACAAGCCGTATGCTGAGGACATAGCGAGTTGCTTCCAGGCCCGCGTATCTCTGTGATGCCGGGTTTCGACTGCAAGGCAGTCTATCCTTGGAAAACAATTTCACATAGCTCATTCTTTTCAAATTCTAATGCGCTGTCTTCAATGAAACGGCTATAGTTCTGCCAGGTGTGTGGCTGACTCTGAAAGCATTGTATATCCAGTTATATAGGTGACGGCTGGACGGATAAACTACATCATCTGGGCAAATCTTGGTGTGATTTTGGGCAAAACATTTTTGCATATAGAAGACTATATTGGACTGAGGGGAAGTGATTCAGCGATGTCTCTGTTGGCAAGTACGACCCTCGTCATTTAAAAGGCTACTTTAGTTATCCCCTTCGAGGCACATAGCCTCTTAAAACTTAAATAAAATAATATCAATATATGATTGCTTCCCATATAATTATTATACATACAAAAAACCTATTAACACTAATTAATAATTATAAGTATTATAAATTAATAAGGTAAAAGAGGCAACCTTACAAGGATTTTTCTAACCCAAAAATCATATCCTCTTTATTAATAAGCATTATATAATAATAATTACTTCTTTAGGCCTCCTTATATTATTAAACTCCTTAAGCAAATATTATAAAAATTAAATAAACTAAATAACATTCCTTATAATATCTATATACATATTTATTATTATTTAAGAAATACGCATTTATTACATACAAAACTTTACTAAAAACAAACCCATTTTCAAATCCTTTTTAAGATTTAGCAAAACCTAATAAAGCTTCGTTTTATTAACAAATAAAGCTTATAACTATTGTAATTACTAAACGGATAAAGCTTACAATTATTGCAACTACTAAATAAACAAAGCTTGCAATTATCGCAACTACTAAAGCTAATGCAACGCTATATTATAAGCAAACGCAAATTATGCATTATGCTTTTAGCTAATATAAAAGGACCTAACGATAAGAAAAAGCCCTAACTTTTAAAACCTAAAGAAACCAATAACTTTTTCCTTTTAATAACTATAACTTACTTACCATTAAACTACCATTATCAACTTGCTCTTAAACATTACCTATTTTATTAACAGCTTACTCCTTATAACATTTGCTATAAAAACTTATAAGCATAGCTAATAATGCTAAAAAGCTACCAACTCTTATTAAAAAGTATATAATTAATAAAATACTTGCTTAAATTTTAATTAACCTAGCCTATTATAAATATATTAACCTAAAATTATAGTTTATAACCTTTGCATAAAAAGCATTAATAAAATACCTAATTACCTACTTAGCAAGTACTTTAACAAGTTATATATAATAAAATCTTTATAATAACAACCTTTTTATTACCTATTATAAAAACTATGCAATATAAATATAAGCAATATTTAAAGTATTGCCAAATCCTTATTAATAATACTTAAAAGTCTTCCTTTAAATATAAGGCATTTACATAAAACGCAATAATTAACTTATAGCATTATAATTAATTATTATAACTTAAGCTAAGGAAAAATTAAAATAAATTAATAATAAGCTTTATAATGCCTTATTAACCTTAAAATTAAGCATAAATAAATATTATATATAACTTTAAAAATAGCAATTATAAGCATAACCCATAAGTATTATAAGCAAGCTTTAAATAATAATAATCGCTAAAAGGATAATCCTTAAGGCAACATTTATCGCCGCCGCTAGCTTTAAGCATGCAATTATAAAACCCAAACTTAATAATGCAATCCATTAAAAACTAATATAGCTAACAAGGCCCATTATTATTAATAAAAAGATAAAAATAAAGCTTATACTAAAGATATATATTATACTTAGCATAATTTTAAGCTACTTTAAGAATACCTTTATTAAATAAAAAGTATAACTTATATAAAACTCTTCCCTTATAATATATTCTTAATAAATATTTAAATTTAACAAAGTTAACATAATTTATAAAAATCTTTAATAATTCTTATAAATATATTAAGGATTTATATAATTTACTAAATAATAAAATAAAGATATTTTTTAATATTTATTATTATATTAAAATTTAATTAAGTTAATTTTATATAGTTTTTCCTTAAATGCTTAAAAATTAAGCCAAGGCTTATTACTTTTATTTTATAAATTAAACTAATATATTTATAATAGCATACCTTAAAATTAAGATACATTTTAATATAAACCTTAATTATTAATATTATTATATAAACTAAATAATAATAATATTTATAAAAATAAGAATATAAAATTTAAATAAAAACCTATATAAGATTTTATATTTAATATTTAATAAGCTATAACTTTGCTAATAAGCATTAAGTTGAAATTATGCTAAAGAAAATAACTTAAAAATAATAATAATTAAAACTTATAAAGAAGTTCCTAAGCTAAAAATAATTCTTTTTAAGCCAGCTTAACTATGCAAAGAGTTATTTTTAAACCTAAAATCCATAATAAAAACATAGCTTAGCTATGTAATTATAATTTACATTATAAATAAAGTCTTAAATTAATATTACATTAATTATAAATATAATAACTAAAAGCTAAAAAAAGAATAATAATTACAATCTTAGGCATTTTAAGGAAATTAAAGGTTTAACCAATTAAACTTAAATTATCCAAGCTTTAAGCAGCTAAAATCCTATAACATTAATTATAAAGCTTATAATAATAATGCTTATAAAAAAAAGGAAAATAACCTTAAAAGAAAAAATATTATATTTATAAAAAAAAAGAATGCTAATTAACTAAATATTTAACTAATAAGCAATATTTAGCAAAAAAAACTTATTTAATATAATATAAATATAAAGATTATAATAATAACTTTAATACTTTTCTAAGCGAGTTTAAGAAATATAAAATAAATAATAAAGATAAATTTTATAAATATAAAAATAAATAAAATTAAAATAATAATTATAATGGCAATACTTATATTATAAAAATAAGACTTAATAAGAAGGTTTATTATATAAATATTAATTTCCTAGCTAATAAAGCATTTATATACCAAATTATTAAAAATAATGTCTTTTAAATGGAAATAATCATTACAGCCAGCTAATTTATCTTAAAAAATAAATATAACCAAACTTATTTTTAAAAAATCCTATTAAACATTAAAGCATTATTAATATCCATAGCTAAACATAAGCAATTTCTTATATTACAATAAAAAAACCCAAAATATTAAATTAATATAATCGCCGCAAAAAAAGCTAAAGTTAAATTTAATAATAAAATAATTATTAATTTACTTAACATAATAAAAATTTCTACCTTAATTAATTATATTAACTTTTATATTATTTAAACATAAACCCCATTCCTACTTTACCTAATAAATATAAATTAGCTTTAAATATATTATAATAATATTATAAATAAAATAGTTTCCTTTAATAATATAATTATTATACTAATACTTAGAAAATAAGGTTACTTATGGTTTTTTCTAAATTAAACTATTAATGCTATATATTTCCTTTTAAAGATAAAAATAAGAAAATTCCATTATTACTTTAAATACCCATTAATAAATTAATTATATTAAATACTTAAAAAAGCTAGCAATTTAAATATTAATAAACAAGCAATAGCAAAAATTAAGAAGATATATTATCATTATTAAATAAACAAACCCATACATAAGCATTTTAAATTTACATTATGCAATAATTATAAATTTAATTATAAAATCTTAATTAACATAATATATTTAAGCAAATATCCAATCCTTTATATTATAAACTAAGCCATTACTTTTTAAAAAGCGAAATTCTTAAAATTTATATTTATAAAGACCATATAATAAACACTATAAATGCTTTAAATCAATATATATTAAAAATTATTAAATATTATTAAATATAACGCAGAAATAAACTTTGCATCCTTAAAATTCCATTTAAAGGCATAAATAATAAAAATTAAATGCAAATAAATCCCTATAAAGGTATATTAATTTATTAAAAAAGTTAAGAAATACCATTAAGCCCTTAAATAAATATATAAAATCCTATATATTAAACTATATAATAATATAAATAATAATGCTATTTTATAAATAGCTATAAAAGC